GTTCTTATGTTCACAAAGGTTTTATTTCTGCTGTTAGTTTATTAAATGATTTCATGAAAATACTTGTTGGTCTTGGTATATTCAATCATGTTATTTTTAAAGTATTAAGGTCTGATTGTTATTGCAAAAATAGCATTTCTCAATAAGCAGACATTATTTGCTGGTTTAAATACGAATTGAAAGTTTCCTACGAGTTTATTTTGAGAAATATTGCCATAGGTCAGTATCATATATACAGAAAACAAATGAAAAAAAAATGTTTTTTTTTTTCTAAAAATGCGGCATTTCAGTACAGCCAAAACAGTAACTAACCAAGGAAAAGTAAGATCATCTTCAGATTCAGCGCCCCTCAAATTAGCCAAAATAATATTTGGTGTCTCGACACCATTTCAATTTTTTTTTTTTTTACCAATTTAGGAGCCTTTCTTACTCTTCCCAATCGATAAGTAAATTGTGATTAGACCCATAATTGATGTCACGTCATTTCTTCACAATCCCGATTCTCTAATAATATTCAAATCCCTAAAGAAGAGCTTTGAGGAATGTTGTGAATGCAGCGAAATAAACAGATCACTCACTCACCTTCCTTTTATCGGAACCTCAATCAAACAATATAAGCATACTGTAATTGAAAAGGTACTTATGCTATCATGAAAACTGTGATCACACTATTTTACAATCATCACAGACCTGGAAATGGGCAATTACATAGGCAGAGACAGGAGAAAATCAAAAATAAAATCCAGTGTTGGTGAATTGATTTAAGCTTCTATGACATTTACCGAGCTATTAAAAGTAATATCCTGGCTGATACACTTTCTCATGCACACTAAAGATGGAAGTAAAAAAAAAAGAGCCAGAGTTTCAGGTTTTTGCAAATTTATTAAATGAAGAAAGTCTAGAGAATGCTTCAAATGTGCTCCATTGACTCTTGTACTCACCAAAATTCACCCACCTAATAAAAGCCAGTCTATAAATGGAATAACACAGCCTATAATTCAAAGGACCTCTTCCCTCTTATTCTAGGAACTACTATTTTAAACATACAACTAAGTCCGCCAGACAGTGTTTCACCAATTAGATAAATTTACCCCCTGACATGACTCAATTCTCGTTTGTGTTGGTATGAACAAAAAACGGGGGAGACACAGTGAAAGTTAAATAAAATAAATAGCAAAAAAGACAACAGAAATCCCGTTTCCAATATACTGGGTTCTTTAGTCATCATGCGTAGTGGGGGAGGTAAGTGACATTTCTTCTTCTGTCTCTTGAAACCTTGGGGAACATAGGACAGCAACAACACCTCTCCAACATACGCGGTTCCGGGCCATCCTCTTGAGCTCAGCTCATGTTACGCCGGCCGCATTCAAATCTGCATCAAGACTTCTGCACCAAGTCTATTTTGGTCAACCCACGTTTTGCGTCCCTTGCGGATTCGAGTCAAAGGCCTGCCTGGTGACACTAACCCACGATCCATTTCCGTTTCTTGATCTCAATCTCGATTGGGACGTGTTTGGTCCTGTCCCCAGTTGGTCCTTGGAGATCGAGTGGATTCAAAGGCCTGCCTGGTGACACTAGAAGCAGGCTTGCAGATTGTGGCTCCCACAGTTGGTCGTTGGCAGATGGATGCTGACACTGAAGTAGGCTTGAATCCATCCATCCCCATTTCTGTTTCTTGATGTCAATCTCATTCTGGATTCAGTCAAAGGCCTGCCTGGTGACACTAGAAGTAGGCTTGCAGAATGTGTGGCTGATCCATCTCTGTTTCTTGATGTCAATCTCGATTGTGGCTTGTCTGGTCCTGTCCCAACAAAATAGCACATGTTTGCAGAGAAATGCACAGGTACAACTTGAAGGTCCCTGGGCTGTGTACAATAAAATGGAACGGAACTTGGAGAACAAGACTAGTGATTGGACATATCATCATCATCTACTCTGGACAGGAAGAAGGCCAGTCCCGCACACATGGAATAGTGCTGCTGATGATTCCCTAAGCAACATGAGCTCTGCTGTCCTGGGAACCAGTATCATCACGGATCCTGACAGCAAGGTTCAACTCCAAAGGCAGGAAAGTCACCATCCTACAATGATATGCTCCAACAAATACCATACAGATGATAGATAAAGTGACACTTAAGACATCTTTACTGCTACTTCTGTCTTCTCTAATGACACAATAACAGACTAGATCTTCCCTTCAGCTATCATAACTGCTTCTCCGCCAATATCTAACTACAACTGTCTCTACATCTCGATGGATGGCTGGTGACTGGCCTGTCTACCAACTCTTTCCTACCACTTCCCTTTTCCACATCATGACAGATCTTGTCACTTTTGCCAGCAGTTTTTGATCAGTAATTGCAATCTGACAAGATAGGCTGACAAATGAAATTCCCTACTTTCTGGCCAAGTATTATTTGATCCTGAAAGTTTTCATTTGTTTATTTTCTTCTTTCCCTACTTGAGAAGAGAAACACTTTGAAGCCCTCCCATTTCAATTTCACTATTAGTCATAAAACGTCAGTCACTTCAAGCTCAGATAAAATCATTTACAGCCTATTTGACTTTGTAGGTCCTTACAGTTAGCCATTGTGTCATCACATCATTCCCTCATTGCTGTGCATGACTATTGCTGCATTTTCTTTGCCTAAACAAAGCCACGGACACCATCATCCAATTTCTAATCTACATATACACAATATTCAGGATGTCTCCTAACAGCCATTCTGATCATTAACATATTACAGTTCAAACAGTTCTGATAGTACTTAGCTAAATGTAGCAATTATGACACCTTATAATCCACAAGAGAAAGTTCAGCATATAATATGGAAATTATGTTATTCTCTATTTGGTTCCCTAAAATATTTGCAGATCTTAGTGGGGGACAATGCTACTTAACATATTCCATCAGGACTCTTCTGCATGGCAGCAACCTGTGCCACACCCAATGAAAGACTTTTCACGTACAAATGTTCAATCATTACCTACCCAGCTCCATACAAATAAACCTGACCCATTTGTCAATGAAAAAGAAGAAAACCCACTATATACCAAAGTATAATGCTAATGGACATAAATCCACTTTGTGTGTGTGTGTGTGTGTGTGTGTGTGCGTGTGTTTTCTGGCTCGGATGAGTTGTCTTTTATCTCCGTCTCAAATAAAGTGTCCTTAATGCCAAAACTCCACTTGTGCATTCAAAAATCAGAGTATGTCAGTCAGTTATGGGCCATGCATTAGACCATTTGACATCCAAGGCTATAGAACCAGTGCCACACCCAATTAAAGACTTTTCATATACCAATGTTCAATCATTACCTACCTACCTCCATACCAGTAAACATGACCCATTTGTCAATGAAATGGAAGAAAACCCACTATATAACCAAGTATAATTTGCTAATGGACATAAATCCACTTTGTGTGTGTGTGAGAGTGAGAGAGAGAGAGACTTGACTCTGCTATCTTTAAGGAGATGTGCTGGAGTAATGGATAGTGGCTCAGATTAAGTAATCAGAGAGCCAAGTTCAAATTCCAGTTGGATCCATTACATTTACTTACATGCTAATACCCTTGGGAAAGGTATGAATCCTCTTCTTATCTCCCCAGCAATGCGTAAATAGCAGGACAGACTGGATTCTATAACCTTGGGTGGCAACCAGTCTAGAAGAAGGAAAAACTTTGAATTCAAAACTGGCCTGGAGAGGGTTGTTCTCTGTTAGGCTCTCTTGCTCAAGAAAAACCACTTCTACTGCGGCTGCAGCACACATGGTGCCCCTAAGACCCTACAGGTCATGGGATATAAAAAACAAAAATCTTTTTATGTCTCTTGTACAGACACTAGGCTAAGGGAGGGCCCCTGTACTGAATACTGACTCATTCTTTTTGGAATATTCCCTATGGTGGTAGACACTGAAGTAATGAACCTACTGATATCTAGTCTATGACTGTATCATCCACTCTGCTACTTTTGAGATGGTCACCCTGAGAGTGCTCAGTTGGGAAACTTTAAATATGAATATACAAAAAAAAAAATCTGTTTCTTGCAATAATATTTACAAGCAGCAGTCATTTTGGAAAATCTTGCAGCAAACATAAATTAGAATGAATTGAAATGCATCAAAAACTGATCAATTCAGAAAAATGAAAGCAATCGAAATACATTTTGATTGAAACATAAAATCAAACACTTGAGACATAGACACAGTTGGTATTCAAAAACAAATTTTTATTTATTGTGAAATTAACTTTGGCTTTCTGCATTCAAAAATCGATTTCTTCAATCATGTTGATATCTGTTTTCAATATCTTTGATGATTGGAAACAAAGATAAATTTTTTTTTTTTTTTTACACATCATTCTAGACATTTATAGAAAAACTTCAAAGAGTTCTGCTTTTTAAAAGCTCATTTCAGAGTGTTATTTGATATTAAGGCATTAAAAACATTTGCATCTGACCGTTTTTCTATAAAGAACTTTAATGGATGCCAAGAGCAGAAATCTTCTAAAATATTGTAGGAAAAACAACAGTGAAAAAAAAAACAGGTTTACAGTCCAGTTGATCACAAATGCAAATCATTTTCTTTTTTGTTCAAAGCTCTTCTTGAGAGTCTTTATGTAGAAACCTTTCTCAATCATTTCAAAATGACAGTGTAGCTGAATTTGATAAATATCCACATTTTTCCAAATGTACAATTGTTAAAATTTTAAAAACATTAAACGTCATCTCTCATATCTTTTTGGTTAGAAGATTCTTTTACATCGGTGCAATAAATAGACTCACCAACCTGAACTTGTTAAATGATTTCACACTGATTCTTCTCTTGAACCTTCAGTTTGTTAGTCTACAAAATCCTCACATCAGAAAAGTGGATAAAATGCAAGAACAATGTTGTTAACAGTGTATTTTTACCATTTGCTACAAGAAGATTGTCTAAAGACTCAAAACATACTTGTCAAAAATTTCTGATTGCCAAGGTTGTTTAACAATTTTTTTTTTTCAGATCAGTTGGTAATATTTTCTACTTTTTGGGTCATAATAATAACCAAGAACAGGATCATAAAGAAGTTGCAGTTCCTCTTCATGGTCTTTCTCATTCAAGCAGCTTTTTGATTGGACACCACAATCTACCAAGACAAAAAAAAAAAATCTATAATGGATCAAAAAAACAAATAATGGCAAATAAACTTCAATGTCAATGGAAATTAATTCAATATTTTCAAAAATCTATTTTACTTCAAATGAAGATTTATATTTTCAGTTTATAAATGTATTTTTATTATATAAAAAATACAAATGTAACATCAACTTCATTTTATACGCTTGCATTCTTGCTACCCATAAGAAATGACTGGATTATTTCAAAGTGTTGCACTATAGCGCTTTTGCCTAGAATCAATGTACTCTCTGCGCTCTTTGCCTGGGATCGGTGTAGTCCCTGCGCACTTTCTCTAGAATCAGTGTACTCTCTGCGCACTTTACCTAACATAATATTTGCAAGTTAATTTTATTGTGTGGTGAACCAGAACTTGCCTGCTTATCACCAGCTTAAGCAGGGTAGGATTCCTGTATTTATTTTCTATATCTTTTGACTTTAGAGTGACAACAGTAAGGGAACAGAAACAAAGAAAGAGTCAGTATTCATTATTACATGTGATATTCAATGGAGCCATGAATGATAAAAAAACTCAAAATGCTCAATGAAATTCCAGTCAAGCAAGAATTACAGTCTACATCAGAAAGAAAAAGTCATCAAATCCCTACACACAAACACAGCATATGGAAAGAGAATTGTAACCACAAGATTTTGATTTCTGATGAAAGTTATCAATTATATGGGCTGCCAAGTGAGAGGAATAATATCACAAGAAATAGTTTCACATATAAAACAAAACATTTCTTCATAACAATTCTTCTATGTGCCATGGTTTCCTACAACTTCTTACATTTGTACCTCCCAGTTGCTGTACATATGAACACTATGTATATCTATATACAGATGAACACTACATGCATCTAAAACATATTGATCCTTCTGTTCCAATTTACTTTGCTACTCATAGATCCATTAATGATTCTACTGGCAGAGAAAAAAACATGTCATGGCAATAAAGAATGATGAACTCTCTACTTCCCAGAACTAGCATTTAACCATTAGCAACTGTTTTTATATCCAGAGACAGGAAAATGGAAAATATGGGTCATAAAAAAGTTTTCCATTTAAAATTTTAGACTATCATCTTTATTTTTTTGTGACCCATTTTGGATTATGCAACCATTTTTAGAAAATCAGGAAAGTATGAAGTAAATACTAAAGATTGGAGACAATATAAATGTGAAGAAGGCCTATGAATATATATTAGTCAAAATATAAGGTTAGAAACAAAAACAGTTTCCTGAAAATGAAAATATTTCATACCAGAATGACAACAATTGAATGAACAACTAACGTAAAAATAAAGAAATATTTCTTTTAAAAAAATTGTCTCTTGTGAAAACTTAGAATTGGTTGACATACCTGTTGTCAGGTTGTCATCGACACAACCATCAAGTGTTCCTCCCATTTGTAAAGGCTGCTGGTTTATTTCACTTGCAAGTACAATTGGGGGACTGAACACATTACTCCAATCCCTGTGTAAAAGTAAGTAAGAAAGAAAAATATAAGAAAATTATTTTATTATTTTACTAATTGAAAAAACAACCTTCAGAGAAATCAATATTGGATTAGAATAAAGAATGTTCATATTTCTATAATGTTATATGATGGACAGAAGTGTGTGACTCTTTCTGCCAATTTATAAAATGACATACATAAAAACCAAACAGGAGCAAATGGAACAAAGAAAAATAATCAAATGACAAATTATAGATAAAGTATAAAAGTTATCTTTTATACTTTATGAAATCCAAAAAGAGATTCTTCATTAGTAAACCTGATTAAACAGATCAAGAATCAAATCGATCTGTTGAAATTTCCTGATATTACTGCATAGCCACACTTTAATATTATTGCACATTTTAATGATTTGAAAGGAAAGAATTAATGGTTACATAATTCACAAGACCAAAATGAAGAGGCTGAGATAAATTTGACAATATTCAAAAATCATCAAATTTCATTTTGTCGTCCTTATCTGGACATATGAAAGATTGTTAACAATATAAATAAATGTTAATGTCAACAAATCTTATAATGTTTTTCAATGGCAAATAATAATGCTAATTTTCACATTCACAAGTTTACAAATAAAAATGTGAAAATAAGAAAAAGTTTACCGAGGATTTGAAGAACTCAGTGTGTCCGTGCTGCGTCTGGATGGATATTTCATCTCTTCTTTGTAGTTGTGCGCAAATCTCAAAGCCAACTGCAATAGAAGAGGAGAAGCCAACAATAACCAAATTCATCCCAGCAAAATGATTGGCCAATAATCACCAAAAGTCAATTATTGATGAAACAAATGAAAACTTTGATAAAAACACTGCAACAGAAAATCCATTCATGAACAATAAATTTACCCAAAAACAGCCTGGTTATCAGATCCTATTTGGAACATGTCTATTCTTGGAACTTCATTCAAAAAGCGTCATAGCAGTATGAATGTGTTTCTTAAATTTGGGAAAAATTAACATGTATTTTATTTAGATTGATTCTAACACAACTTGGAAGAAAAATAAGGAACATTTTTGGAATATTATCTGCTTTTTGACTTTTTACAAAAGTAAAAGGTTTGTGCATTTTACAAAGTAGGTATTGTGAATGATCAAACATGTTTTTCTGATGTCAACAAACACTCATTGACACTTTTGTAATGTCAATGAATACTCATTGTGACTTTCGTAATGCTCATTGTAGTAGAGACTTTGTAATCACAGATACAACTATAGTAACGCTGTTGAACAATACTGGTATCAGACACTTTAGACACCATGCTAATTCCCATATATACATTTTCTTTACATCACGTGATCTACTTATTCAAAATGGGATCGCATGTGTTTGCTCTATGGTGATCTGTGTTCAAATCCCAGTGTCAGCAGTGACACTTTATATCACATGTCAAAAGTGGTTAATGAAGTTTCATGCTGGAGATTTTTTTACTAAACAATGCTTAATCTCAGTTGAGATTGAAAGCTATCAAATCAAAATATTACTTGAGAATAATGACCTTTATACAATGTGAAAGCCTAAATACTGAAATTATCCAAATCATTTATATCTGCAAGGCCCTCATGAGTTAAGTTGAAAAAAATGTACAACTTGACTATATCAACATAAAAAAAAACATTGTGAAAACCAACTGTGATGAGTGAGGATATTTTACAATTTTGAACACAAAAGATCATGAGACAAACAAACTAAAGCTAAATTCAAGAGGGGGCTCTCTCTGCAACAGATTCTGGTAAGACTCACAAGAGAAAGCAGTTTTAAGTCCAGAAGCTTTTCTCTTAGATCATTTCTATGAAAACAAAAAGCTGATAATACTAAATAGCATTCAATAAATCAAACTTTTTCATTTTTTAGAAGAATTTAAATCTGATGTACTGAACTTTTAAAGAGGATAATATATGCAATACAAACAAAATATAATAATCTTAATATAGAGAATAAAAGTAATTATATCCTTTCTTTTGTATAATTGTTTCATTTCATGTCTTTGCCTTGAAAATTCACCAAGTACAAATTTATTTCTTCTTAAATCTTCTCAAAATGTTTTTTTAATTAGAATCTATACAGTTTATTACAACAGGAAAAAATAAATGAAATAAGCATCCGCCAATGACTTGTGTTGAAAAGCAGAAAGGAATTGGCAAACTTACAGGCACTTTGAGAGAATTAAAGGTTGTATCATCATCACTGTTGGTAGTTAATGAATCATCATATAAAGGATTAGCTAACAATGGAGGATCAACAGGAAGTCCTGAAGACTCAGTAACTTTTTTCTGGTGAAGAGCCAATTCTTCATCTTGTTGCCTTTTCATGCTGGCCAACATTCGTTCCTCAAGTGAATCCATCATGCCATTATCTGCAGTTTGGTATTTGCTACTGTCATACGGTTTCTGTTATAATATCAGAAGGAATATTACAAAATGACAGTGAAGAATTTACAACAAATAATATAATCAGACAAGATTTCCTCAGATTAATTGGACAAATATATTTATTAATTTGATAATTAAGATGGACATCAAGTCTAGTAATTTTTCAGTGTTATTCAAAACATTTTTATCTCCTCAAAAAGGAACAGTAGTTTTCAACTTAGATATCTGAGAAGAAAAATCTTGATTAAAAAAAACAAAAACAAATTCACTGAAATTAAATACAAAAAGTAGTGAGTAAATTGTTCCATAGTTAAAATTAATAAACAGTTTGTTTTTTGTCTGCATTTTCTCATGTGATCATAAACCTTTGCTACTTGAAACTGAGATGAGAAAGTTTTTAAGACATTCAACTGTTGAAGGGTTGAGAATACACTAGTTGAAACATTGTAGTAACCTATGGAATCTTAAAAGTCTTGCCAATAACCTAACAGTTCAATGAAGCTGTTAGTTTGGCAGAGAAGATATTATTTGGCTCCACTCAATCAGAAAGAAGTCAACTACAAAAATAATATTGATGGATACATCTTGGTCATCTAGTAAACAAAACTTGAGAATAATATACATTGTGGGAAGCTACACTTCCAAATAATTACAATATAACATTAAAAGCATCAGGACAATTAAAATCTTAATACAAAGTTCATATATTTTTATTTCTATTTCAAAAGTATTCCAGTGAAACTATATTTACACAAGAATTCATTTCATACAACAAAAATGTTGAAACATACAAATTCAATAGATGAAAAGTAGAACCCTTAAAAATAAATATTTTTCAGTTTTGCCACTTGATATGATGCCTACCTATTACTAATACAAATTCTCAATAAAAATATATGACCAATTTTTACTGATGTTGGGAAAACTCATATGAAGAAAAAATTTTAGATGAATAGACATCTCATCAAATAAAGGTAGCACCTTGTTTGATCAAAATTCAGTCGTTTGGTGGTTAGACAGGAGTCACCTTTCCAGGGTGCAGAACTGGATGATGGTGTATGGGGGCTGTGCACTACCCAAACCACATAGCCACCCTCTCGACTGTTCCAAGAAGATCCAAAGGAATGAATAAAAGTCATTACATTTAGGGCCAGCTTAGAAACAAGACTTGACAACCAATCACACCCTCAGGGGCTCCACCCTGGATTTTCTGTATGGATTTACTGCCATAGCCTTTTCTGTTTGTTTATTATGACCCCAAGGCAGCCAAGGTTTTCCTACCCATAGATGGACTGCCTTCCTGGGCTGATAAGGCTCCAACTACCCAATGCATGTAGTTATGATACAGGTGGTTGTCAAAGGCTATCTGACATGCATTTAATGGGAGAATTTTATAGACAGTTTGAGCTACCATCACCACCACCACCAGCAGCTAGGCCAACCTTTGAATATATATATATATATATATATATATATATATATATATATATAATGTGTGTACATAAATATTAGATGGATCATATGTTTTAAAAGCTCCAAAAAATTTACATAAACAAAAGAAGATATATATGTGTATATAACATTAGATAAACAAAAATATGAGAAAGTAAAATAAATTATGAAAAAGTCATACATAAACAAAGAGAAATATCAAAAAGTTTGTTAAATGAGGAAAAAAATAGCAGAAAGAAAAATATAAATTGGGATTTAAACAAGAGGAAGTCATTATTTATAACATTCAATAACAAATAATTTATACTACTTTTCTAATAGTATTAAAATCTAAACTATCAACTGATTCATTATTGAATGAGAGCAACATATGGCCCAGTGGATAAAGACGTTGGTTAGATCCAGTGACTAGACACAAAAGAGTTGTGAGTTCAATACCAAGCCACCAGTGGTGAATGAAAAACTTGGAGAACTGAATTAAAGGGAAATAACTGAGACATCCAGAAGAGACATGTCATGTGGAACTAGAACAATCTACCCCCAGTGGATGAAATAAAAGGTTCAGTTTAAAATTCCAGTCACCTGAAGAAGGTTGAAACCTTGTGAACATGGCAATGAAGATGAGGATAACAGTCCAAATAATGTAAAAAATACAAGTAATCATAGTACCTCATCTCAGAGATATAGACAGATATTAAAACAAATGCATAGTTGATAAATATAAGTTTAGGTAAGCAGAAACAGAAAGTAAAAATAAGACAAATGATTTTCAAGATAGTTGTCCAAAAACAAATAAATATTAATAGAGAAAATTTCAGTGACTGTGGAAAATAGTTGAAAGAAATGATAATAATCAATGCATACAAAAATACAAATAATTATAATAATTGTAATATATATAATAAAAGAAATAATAATTGCAAATTATATTAAATTATTAGATGACTTTTAAGGAATATTTGTGTTTTTTTTAGTTAAACTTTTATATCCATTAATTTTTTGGTGATTAAAAAAAAAAACACACCATCTCTCCTCAAGTTCAGATTACAGAAACATAATGATAAAAGCTAAAACTTTTAAAAGATAACATAGAAAACAAATTCTATAATACAGCTACAGGTATAATTGACAATTTGTTCCCTACATCCCAATACAAAAAACATTTTTCCCTCAATGCTTATATAAGGTCTTTTATCTATCTCATCCCAATGCTTATATAAGGTCCTTTATCTATCTCATCCCAATGCTTATATAAGGTCTTTTATCTATCTCATCCCAAAGCTTATATATGGTCTTTTATCTATCTCATCCCAATGCTTATATAAGGTCTTTTATCTATCTCATCCCAATGCTTATATAAGGTCTTTTATCTATCTCATCCCAATGCTTATATAAGGTCTTTTATCTATCTCATCCCAATGCTTATAAATGGTCTTTTATCTATCTCATCCCAAAGCTTATATAAGGTCTTTTATCTCATCCCAATGCTTATATAAGGTCTTTTATCTATCTCATCCCAATGCTAATATAAGGTCTTTTATCTATCTCATCCCAATGCTTATATAAGGTCTTTTTTATCTCATCCCAATGCTAATATAAGGTCTTTTATCTATCTCATCCCAATGCTAATATAAGGTCTTTTATCTATCTCATCCCAATGCTTATATAAGGTCTTTTATCTCATCCCAATGCTTATATAAGGTCTTTTATCTATCTCATCCCAATGCTTATATAAGGTCTTTTATCTATCTCATCCCAATGCTTATATAAGGTCTTTTATCTATCTCATCCCAATGCTTATAAATGGTCTTTTATCTATCTCATCCCAATGCTTATATAAGGTCTTTTATCTCATCCCAATGCTTATATAAGGTCTTTTTTATCTCATCCCAATGCTTATATAAGGTCTTTTATCTATCTCATCCCAATGCTTATATAAGATCTTTTATCTATCTCATCCCAATGCTTATATAAGGTCTTTTATCTATCTCATCCCAATGCTTATATAAGGTCTTTTATCTATCTCATCCCAATGCTTATATAAGGTCTTTTATCTCATCCCAATGCTTATATAAGGTCTTTTATCTATCTCATCCCAATGCTTATAAATGGTCTTTTATCTATCTCATCCCAATGCTTATATAAGGTCTTTTATCTCATCCCAATGCTTATATAAGGTCTTTTATCTATCTCATCCCAATGCTAATATAAGATCTTTTATCTATCTCATCCCAATGCTTATATAAGGTCTTTTATCTATCTCATCCCAATGCTTATATAAGGTCTTTTATCTCATCCCAATGCTTATATAAGGTCTTTTATCTCATCCCAATGCTTATATAAGGTCTTTTATCTATCTCATCCCAATGCTTATATAAGATCTTTTATCTATCTCATCCCAATGCTTATATAAGGTCTTTTATCTATCTCATCAATCCTTTTATCTCATCCCAATGCTTATATAAGGTCTTTTATCTATCTCATCCCAATGCTTATATAAGGTCTTTTATCTATCTCATCCCAATGCTTATAAATGGTCTTTTATCTATCTCATCCCAATGCTTATATAAGGTCTTTTATCTCATCCCAATGCTAATATAAGGTCTTTTATCTATCTCATCCCAATGCTTATATAACGTCTTTTATCTATCTCATCCCAATGCTTATATAAGGTCTTTTATCTATCTCATCCCAATGCTTATATAAGGTCTTTTATCTATCTCATCCCAATGCTTATATAAGGTCTTTTATCTATCTCATCCCAATGCTTATAAATGGTCTTTTATCTATCTCATCCCAATGCTTTATTCTTTTATCTCATCCCAATGCTTATATAAGGTCTTTTATCTATCTCATCCCAATGCTTATATAAGGTCTTTTATCTATCTCATCCCAATCTTATATAAGGTCTTTTTATCTATCTCATCCCAATGTATATAAGGTCTTTTATCTCATCCCAATGCTTATATAAGGTCTTTTATCTATCTCATCCCAATGCTTATATAAGGTCTTTTTTATCTCATCCCAATGCTTATATAAGGTCTTTTATCTATCTCATCCCAACACAAATTTATTCTTCCTTATGAATACACAATTCTTTTCCTTTAAATCCTTCACACAAGGATCACTTCCATCCTGTCTTTTGCAGCTCTAAGTAATTCTACCACCTTTATAACAACCTTCCTTTCCTTGTGGGACTTGTTCTGGCACCTATTTAACTTGTAGGTTATTCACTTTTTTTCCCCTTTGCATCGGTTCAGTATTAAATTCTCCAAAATATTTTTCTTCAGTACATGTTCCAAAAGTTTCAGGTATCTCTTTCTTATTGTGTCCCTGATTTGTTTGTAGAATATCTCTGTTCTGTTACTTCAAATATATTCTTCATCTGAGAGAAAATTTTTCATCATTCAGAGCCATTATGTAGCACGACTCCTTTCTTTGTTTCTAATGATATTTTTTTTATTCCTTAGTAGCTTTGCTGGATCTCTAAAAGGCATCCATCATTATTCCTATGTGCCTTGGATTTCTGTCGTATTTTCACTTGTCTGTTACAATACTACTCAGATAATTTAATTTCTACACCTACATAAATTTGACATCCCCGATATGTAACTCACACTTGGGATTGTCTCTTTTGCTGACAATCATGCATTTTGTCTTCTTACATTAATGGTTAATTCTTTCTTCTTGCTTTCATTGATTACTTCATCTGACAGAAATCTACCATCATCAGTGTCATCTGCATAACATCTGTTGTTAAGGTTAATGTTGTAGCATTCCTACAGACAATAATTCCATTCACATAAATACAGTAGTAAATACTGTATGTTGGTCTGCAGTTGGAGATTATATCTCCAGCTATGCTGGTCAAACTCTCTGAAACCAGGAAGAGAGGATTCCCAGACAAGGCTATGTCAAAGGGCAGAGTCTCATCTCGGGAAATAGCTACCTGACCCCATTTTATACACGGGCTACGGGGAATTTTTGGCCAAGCCTACAGGCTTGGATATCCCACATTAAATTCAGCCTTGTGCCACATCTGATTGCATAGGACAGTTGGTAGATATCCTGCAGTTGGAAATTCATTGTGAAATTCACTTGACTCACTTCTAGCAGTTGACTACTACTTCTACATGCTCCTGGCAAATTTTACATGTGTTGTTCTTGTTCTAAGTATTATCATTCATTACCAACCTTTGTTTGATTATTCTATTCAGTAACCTTCCCTTGGTTACAACAGTTAAGTAAAAAGATAAATTCTGGTAAGTCTTCTATTCCTCTGAGAATCACCTCACTGGAAACGTTAAATAAATTTGGTGAGAAAACATCTTTTTTGTACACTTCTATTTTTGTGTATTCTCAAGCTATGAATGAAATAGCAGGGAAGATTGAGCTCTTGCCTTGGATGACAGCTAATATCGGAGGAGGAAAACTGAATTCAGATTTGAGGCTGAATGCTTGGTGACTGTGGCAAAACTGAATCATTTCTGTTATCAATTCTTCCAAAAAAATATGGTCGATTCTACGCAATCCTCTACCACTATAATAAAATCATCTGTGTGAATAGTCTAGCAGTTCAAGTCTAAACAAATCTGTTGTTCACTCATATGCTGAAATCAATAGGAGAGTTCATGCATGCCATTTACTTGACTAATCCTTTATTTGTATGCAGTCTTTTCATTCTCAGTAGAGATTACAGATTAGTTAAATCTTTTTGCCATGTAGATCAAGCTTTCCTAATTTTTCAAATTCTTCATCTTATACTTGAATGATTGCTTTTGTGTAGTTTGTGTAACATACAAATCTTTTTGCACTTCTAACTCTTGCTATGATAGCATTCTGATCATGAAAACTGAACTTCTTGTTCCAGTGTCTTGAACAAAGCCACCTCACTCTTGCACTATTTCTGATCTAATTCGACCACATATTCTCTCTCCATTAAATTCCTAATTATTAGTTTTGTTATATAACTCATCAGGTTCATTGATAGAGATTGTATTTATTTGTGACTGATTTTTATGAAGATTTATCTACTGATGACTTCTGGTATTTCGCCACTGATATATATTTCATTTATCGTTTCAGTAACCTTATCAATTCAAAAATCTTCCAAATTTGTCAACATCTCTTTGACAAATTCATCTGATCCTGTTGCTTTGTTCATTTTGGCCAATGCTGAACAAAGGCCCTTCTATGTCTTCTGTATAGTGGATGCTTTTCTCCATCATTACCATGGAAATGCTTTCTGATATATTCATTGCAAATATGTAGTACCTTTTCTTTCTCTATTCTCTCTCTAAAGTTTATGTATCCTGCCACAGAGCATGTCCTGTTACACCCTTTATCCTTTTTTGTATGCCTACTACATCTGTGTTCTGCAGTTTTTCTTATTAAGCCATTCATTTTTTGCTTGCTTACTGATATTTTTTTTTAACTACATATTCTGTGCCATTTCTTAGCATTATTTGCTGTCTTTCTTTCTATTGAGAATTTCAAGTTATCTACATTTGTTTCTTGTCATTCTTTCTTTAGAATGACTATTTTTGCTGTTGTTACTAGGGTTACCATTTCACAGAGTCTTTAACCTGTTCCAAAGTTTTATATGCTTGCAAATGAATTCTGTGGAATTAAGACATGGTTCCACACTCTTTACTTTCACTTAATCCATAATCAGTCATCTCTCACTTTTCATGATCTTGCCTCTCAATTCCACTAATCCCTTCACTAATAATGCCACTGTCTCCAATCCTTACACTATGTTTCAATTTCATAATCAATAAACAATGTAGTTCAATCCCAATCATGTGTTATCAAAACAGAAAAAGAAACAAATCCCTCACCTCTCCAGACTTGGCAAGGGACTTCCTAATATTTGATGGACTCACTTCTCGTAGTGATTTACGATTCAGCCTTGATACCGAGCTTTGGCATCCATTTGCTATGGTAGGTAAAGCAGTATATTGACTTGAATCATAGGGTATGGTGTGATTAGCCAGCTCTGATTTGTGGCCAACATTTGATCTTGATTGAATTAGTTGTTGTACCACTTGACTGTGGACTGGTAGTTTGCTTCCTTTCTCAGGTAAAGGGATGTTTGCCCGAGAACTAACACTCTTACCCGAACTGCCACGGCTGGAAGTTGCACTGTTACTATGTGTGCGCACATAACGGTTGCTTGTTGCAGATACATTTTCAACAGAGTCATCGTCATCACTGCCATTCAGAACTGATACAAAATCATCTTCTGGTTTTGCACCACGTCCAGAATAGACTGGATCAACAACATTGCCTTTTGATTTCCCCTTTAAATGAAAAGAAAGATACCAGAATTTACAGAAGTCAATACAAACATCAATTCAGAAGAACTAAGAAAAAAATAGCAATTACAAAGAAAAGAAATATAAGTCACTACATCGATGAGAAAATGTGTTGTTGAAATAGCTGTGTATATTTGGAATCCATGCCAGAAGTTTATATTCAATTAAAAAAAAAAAAAAACTTGTTAAATATTCAAATACACAAACCAACCTTTCTATCCTCCACTGCATTCAATCTTGTAGAAGACTAAACTAAGAAGATGAAAGATTAAAAGAATAAAAGAATAGGCAAAAAAAAAAAAGGACTGCAAGTGTAAATAATTAACAAGAATCTACAGACAGAATAAGTTAATTTTGGATTGATAGAATATGAAGTGCAAAATCCAAAATCCTTTTAAAAGTGTTAATGAGTTTCTTGCAAATCCTGATTATTTTGCTTATTATTATTATTATGCAGTCATGATTTCTAATCAGATTATTCCTTTGTAGTAAAATTCATTCATCAGAAACATTATTTTGTTTTTTACAAACAAAACCCACAAAAAAATAAAAAGTTACAGAAAATTCAGAATTGCTGAATTTTGTACAAAGTTTAATGTTAATAAATAATCCAGAGAGAACTTCTTTGGAGCAAAGAAAGCACAAATGAATTGCCACAAAGCAGTTATCTTGAAATGACCTAACAGTCACCACTCAGTGTCTTGGGCTTCATTCTTTTTTTTTTCTTCTTGAGAGCTTACTGTTTCATCACCAACACACTTCCCACAAATCTTATGAGTATCAGGGCAGCCTTCTCTGTCTTGGGTTCTTTCACAAGGATGGGATAAAGAAAAAAGGATGGTAATCCTATTCCATCAAGACTATACTTATCACCAATTCATTTCTAGAACTTTGTAAATATTAAGTCCAAGACATCCTCATTCATGAAAGAAGCATTGTCAATGTCCCGACATATTTCATCATGGTTAAATATTAAGATAGCAAGGGACTCAATCAACCTCAAAAGATTGCAAGTTAATGATCCCAATGACACACGCCATCCAAAACTCCATTGTACACAGATTTTATTGTATTTTATTTATGGATTTTATTGACTGGTACAGCTGAGGGTGAGGCATCATCCTTAGGCGTTATATATAATGCCTCACTTCAGGGTCTTGATGATGCTACATGAAATAATTTTCATTTATGGATTTCATTGACAGGTACAGCTGAGAGTGAGGCATTCTCAATAACCTTTGCCAATCTCTACTACATGATGAATATAATCTGAACTAGGGCTTTCGTGGTCAAGATTTCTCCTCAGTAGTAGCCAGTGGCACATGAATCACTGGTTCAGATTTTTCCTTGTGTGAACATGAGGGTAATCCAAAACTTTATTCTCAAGCTACAAATTAGCCCCATCCTGGGTAAGATGATAAACTACATCCAACAGCAAGGTCACTGATCAGGAGCTTTTTAGGAGTGTGGAACCATGTCTTAATTGCTAGTGTTCCCAGGTACCACTTGACTTGGGGTGGTAGCACCTATTAGGGTCCCAACTATGGGCAAATAGTTAACACTTAAATTGGGGTCAAAACACTATGAAAGTATAAAAATAGATTTTAATACCAGCAATACATTTTTGTTATTACCAGCAATACATTTTTGGAAAAAAAAATATTACCAGCAAAAAAATCTTGTCGGCATTAAATAACCCATCAAGGTTGATATGCCATGAAACAAACCAAACCAAATTAGCCAACCATTTCTATGTTATACCCAAAATTGTTCACCTGTCATCAAACTTTACACTGAAATTAAATTCATCAAGCAACATGGCTGCATGAATAAAGTATTTATTCATAAAACACACAAGACCAACTGATTAATTGATCTGGATGCAATGCGATGTGTTAATGGCCTTAATTTTTAAGAAGAGATGAAATCTTAAAGGTTTTCCATCTGCTACCATAATTTCAATCTTAATCAATCCCCATTGTACATACTGATTACTTCCAACTTCACAGAACTTACAAGTTTTTACTTAACACACCAACATTCACATCTTCCCTTCTCCATAGAAGACAAACTGAAGGACTTATAATTGAGCAGAAACTTCCATAATCCATAGCTATGCTCCATTAGTCTGTACCTCAATTGCAGCTAGCACTGCATTTACAATTTAAATAAAGAGAAGATGATTATCGATGTCTTTTTCCTCTCATTCCATTTGCTGAATGAAATCTGACCAGATTTGATCTTAATGCTTGGAACTGATTTTATTGTACTTCCTTCCATTATCTTCATTTGTGATTGCTTCTCATCCTTGAAGTAAGCAATCTCTCATCATATGATCAAGTCCGTAATAATTGTAAGCACATAAGTTCAGAAATTCAATCTTGCTTTTCTTTTGGTTCAAGCATTTTATATAGCAAACATGTACCTGCTGTAGCTAGTCCCAGTATTGCCAATCCATCCTTCAACATTGTCTTCGTTTGGTCCAAAAGTTGGTCAAGATTCATAGAATGCACAGACCAAGCCACATTCAGAAGAGGGTTGTTTGAGAAAAGGATATATAGAACAATGGGGATCCGAATCAAGGCAGCAGCAGATGTCAATTGACATTACAACTGAATATGTGAAGATTATAGCTATCAGAGAAGCAAGTTGGAGGAAGGGAGTTGCACTGTTGGGAAGTATAAGAGAGGCAGTGTTGGAGTAGAAGAGGCAGTTTCATTTAACTGTTTCAACAGTGAAAGCGTGGGACCAAAATATCAACCTAGTAGCACGTTTAAATTCATGCAGTTGGGGTACCAGTGAATGTAGCTCATCAGAGCACACTTTTAGAATTTGGTCAAATTCAGGAAAACTTTCAAAGAGAATGAATAATTTAAACAAGGCTCAGCTGTTGTTTGAAACACAAAAATAAATACAATATTCTGGATGATCATAACTAAATTATTTCTTAAAATTTGGTAAAATAGATTGAATTTTCTAAAAAAAATTCATTTTAAATTTAAGCCATCAAAGATTTTGTATATTTGCATCACCAAAAATATTTTATTGTATCTTTCAAACCTTAAAAACAAAATAATAAATGAATAAAATTTTCTTTAAAATCATTTATTTTGTGTCAATATTTCTGTCCCATTTTTCCACAAATGCCATTCTTCTGAATTTTGATCTAATTTTATTTGAAAACTTGTTAAATGGATATTATCAGAAATATGCAACTATGACAGTTGTTGAAAGACTTACATTTGTTGTGTCAACCTCTTGAACAGGAGAATGACTACATTCTGGGGCAGATTTTGGAAATGAAGTAAAAACATAAACAGGATCTTTTTTCTCAGCAAAATCCCTGCAATCAAAAAATAAATTTATTAAACAAAAAACAGAGCATAACTAAAAAAGGTTATTATCAATTAATATTTAAGTTGAATTTTTATATACCTTATATAGTTGCATATCATGCAACCTTTGAAGTCCTAATTTTAAAGCTAATTTAACTACAGTAAATGCATATATTAGTTTGACCAATGGTATAGTCAGGGCCAGCAGTACATATGGTAATTTTATATCTCATGTATGATGAGACCCCCTTAAAATTCTCTTCAAAATTAGGTCTTCAAAAGTCGCATGGTATGCGAGTATATATGGTAACTTTTTGAATGGATTAACCTGGTGTCTACAAATTTCTTTCAAGTGTGTTGAATAATATTGGCTTCTCTTTATAAAATGGACATAACCTTTTATTTATTTAGAGAAATTTTCTTTTAATCAATATCATTAAGTTCTCTTATATTCTCTGTTGCAAAAGATATTTATTCTTCTTCCTTGTGGCTTTCATTTGAACCTTTACAATGTTTAAAACACTAAGAATGAAAAAACACTCAAGCTCAAGATGAAATTGTATTCATAAAGCAAATACTCACAACTCGCTGCCTCCAAATTCACTCTGGTGATCACTATTGGAGCTGCCATTGTCTGACAATTCACTGTCAGCCATAACCAAACCATCCTTCAGCATTGCAATAACTCCACAGAGAGATTCATCCATTTCAACTAGGAAAACAATGTTAAATCAAGAATGAAGCTAGAAAAACAAATAAAAGTCATCCTTAGTAATTTCAGTAATTCTACATAAAAATAGCAGCTTTAAGGAAATGAGTTTTTGGAACTTTCTACACTAGTCAGTAATATAACCCTAACACCACTTGCCAACATGAACTCCTAACATTGTCTATTATCAGTCAATTCTGCATAAACGTCACCTACACAAAATATGCAAAGTTTTATATTTTACACTTCTGGTTGTTTATTCTGCCATTCAAATTTGTAACCACTTTTGAAATATTCCTAAAAGTTTAATTCACAATTCTTCAAAAAAAAAAAAAGAAAAATTAAATTCAGCTGCTGATCCAAAGATTTAGGTTTCAGCTGAAAATATTAACAGTTCATAAAAAAATAACATTAGCCAATCTGAGATGCATTTCAGCTGACAACTGTTTATATGTATAAGTCAATGAAATGTAAATAGTTCCTGTCTGAATGAGCTGAAGCAACTGGTCCCATACAAATATCTATGATTCTGATTTTTTGTATCAACAGCAAAGAAATAATTCATAATAATAAACATCCCGTTTTTTATCTCCTTTTCTTATAATACTTTCTGTATATTATTCCTCAGCATAAACATCTATTGAATAATTATAGTACTTATACCTCTCCACAAAATGGAAACCTTTGTTTTTGCTTTTGTTCCATCAGAGTACCTATCAAGAATAACAGACACTCACTTTAGCAATTTTGTTCATTTTCTAAATTCAAAATGGCTCTTTTCTTAATAATGACTGTAATTTTTCATAAAATATTTCTCTTTCTATACTTTGTTATTCTGTAGTAAAAAAATTCCCTTCTTATCACATTTAACTTAGTCTGTCTTCTTGTACGGCATATCAACCTCAATGATTTATTTAATACTGACAATATTCTTATTGCTAGTAATATTTTTTTCAAAAATATATTGCTTGTAATTTTTTTTTTTGTCAAAAATGTATTACTGCTAATATTTCTTTTTTCAAAAATGTTTTGCTGGTAATAATTTTTTCCTTCAAAATATCATTGCTGGTAATATTTTTTACAAAAATGTATTACTGATATTAAAACCTATTTTTATACTTTCATAGTGTTTCTGTCCCCTTTTGATGGGTTAACTATTTGCCCATAGCTGGGACTCTGACAGATGCTACCATCTCGAGTCAGGGAAGACCTGGGAACACCAGCAATTAAGAGGTGGCTTCATGCTCCTCAAAACCTCCTAATCAAAGACCTTGCTGTTGGATGTAGTTTATCATCTTACCCAGGACATTCACACTTAGCATCTTTTTTTTTAAACCATTAAATAACTGAAAGAGTCTTTAAACATAAAACTTATTTGCTCAGATTCCATCTTTTTTGTCACAAGTCTTTGACTCCTGCAAGTTCTTATCTTTTGTTATTCCTTTATGAATTCAATTATAAATGAGAAACAACAGTTTGTGTTCAATATTTTCTGCATTTAAAAAAAAAAAAATGAGTTCATTTGATTTTTGGAAAACACAATACTCTTCAGCTTGTACAGAGTGAGTGTTCTTGAATTAAAAAATAATTATACAAAATTATTACTAATTGATTAATAAATACTAATTTCCTTTGACAAAAGAGTTTCTGACGGTGATGAACAACTTTCAGATTGGATTCATTTTTATTTTCAAATCATCTTAAATTTATATTCTTACCATTTTCTATAATCCCCTTTCAATCCTTTCTTGTTTCTAAAATTTTTATAAACTGAATAACTTTTAAAAAATTTTATTTAATATTCTGTCACAATATTTGATGATACAAACTCTCAGAATTTCATATTATGTGAATTCGTTTTTGAACCTTAGTGAAGCATTTTAAAAAAAAACTACAGAAAGCTAAGCATATAAACAGAACATTAAATGTCATACTTGGTTTCCTGGGTGATTGAATTTCAGGAACATCAGGCCCAATGCCAGTATCCACAAACTCTGAGGTGTTATCAGAACTTTTGGTAACAGGCCATTTCTGCCGCATGACCTTGGAATGCATGAGATGATCTTTGCAATTAGGAATTTTCTCTTCCTTCAAGTTGTTAGATTGAGAGTTATTTCTGTTTTTGACAGTTTTATCTCTGCAAATGTCCAGATTTGTTTTTCCTTCTTCAGATGCAGTGGGGCGAGTTTTTCCACAAAGAGAAACCTGGGAGGATTCCGAATTGAGTTCATGACCTGCATTCCTCACTCGAATCCGACGGCGATTTTTTTCTGATGAAGGTTCACGTGGTGGATGAGGTTTGAATGACATGTCATGCTCTATGGACAAAAAAATAAAATAAGTTTTAGTGGAAGAAATTTTAAGATAAAAACATTTTTCTTTTACAATTCAATTTTTGTGGAGGAATCATTGTACTTATCCAAGTGTGGTTCACCAAAATTTTTAATTAAATAGATTCCTTTCTTAGAGTGTGTGCCCTAACTGCTCAAATTCCACCTATCAGTGTTAATTCATTACGCAAATCAATCTTCTTTCAAAATAACATCTATATGACTGATAATGTTGCCTATTAAATAATAATGAAATAAGCAAAATCAATATAAACAAATCAATATTTTTTCTAAATAACATTGTAGTAAAATTGGAAGTTATTACTTTAGTTTTATTCAACAAAGAACATGGCAATACACATAGGAAAGTGGCTAAGAATATATATTATACACACACACACATATATATATATATATATATATATATATATATATATATGTATGTATGTATGTATGCACCATGACACTCATAATCCCACACTGAATAATCAAAATAATATTATAATATTGTAGAATACATAAATAATAAACAAAATGACTATACACACTTTTGCTATATAAAATTATCAGCATGAAATCAATAAAGAATACAAAACCTCAACTTTTATTAATTTACGATAACCTTATAGACTCTCTATACAACCTCACCATGATAGGTGTTGCTGCTATGGTATCCATAGCAAGTAGGTTTTAAAAGCTGGAGTTGCTAGCCCTATACTCCAAAATTAACATTAGTACAAGAATAAGTACACCAAACATTACTAAAGTCATAATTGCCATGTGTTAAGTCATTTATATATACAGACTCAGATTGGTATAATGGAAGTTGGTTAACAGGACCATGAGTATCAATTCATGTGAGGAATCCATGATTCAATCACATAAGTAAGAGATTCAGCTTCATTCTTCATTGTGCTTTGGTCAGAATCCTCATCATGACTGATGACGTGTTGTCTTATGCATTCACATTGTCAGGAGTTAAAACAGTCCTGAATTTCAGACAGACTATTCCATAAATGACCTGCTGGAGTTAAATTTTGTAATAATATTATCTTCCTGCCATTACAAAGAAAAATATGGGCATAAAACAGATTTATTTTGAAGAATTCAGCTTCTCCAACAACTGGGTTGACATGATACCTAAAAAGGACTTCTTAAAATGAAGACAACCACATTGGAATAAAATAGCCACAACTCAATCAGTACTGAAAATTAATGTAAAATAAAAGTAGTAAAAGTCAACAACAAAATGCATATTGCAACCTTTAGGACAAACTCCCAATGAGTTATATTTAAACTTTGTTTTTAATGTAAGTGTTACTGACCACCATAATTCCATTATGTCATCTATACTGCACATTACACTGAGGATTTTATAAAGTGTGGCCTGCTTTGAGGAGATTGTACAAGACGTTTCTGACATCCAATGACATAAATGAATTAATTCTGTCCAAATATTTGAATGCAGACGTGCCAAAGATTACAAAGAACTGACTGGAGCATTGGATCACTATTGAAAATGTTATATCTGAACAAGCAAATGCAAAAGGAAAGTTAGAGAACTAGTTATAGTATGTATTAGTTGAAGTTGATAACAATCAAGCTTTGTAGTAATATCAGTGTCATCCAATATCTTATTAAATGAAAACATTCAAGCTGTCACAAAAATTGTTTCAGACTTGTATTGTCCTAATAATTATCAGTTAAGTGAAGTGAATTTCACAAGGATATAGCAAACAACTCTGAATTAAGCCAGTGCTTGATAAATTACATTTTTAGACAAAGATGACAAGACAAAGAACAATGTTCTCTAAGACAGTGGTTACTACCAGCAGAAAACACAGAGACCCAGGCAAAGGTATAGAGAATAACAAAAGACCACCTCTTGGCAATGCAAAAAGGAAGACACCTTCATCTTTACAATGACTCTTAAGAACATTCCTAAAAATTTTCTCTACAAAAAGAAAATATGCTCAATAGAATAAATATTTCTATGTCATTTTATTTAACTCTTTTGTTTAGTTTCTCAACCAACTCAACACTTAATTTTTGCTCAACACACAACCCACTAACCTAGTAAAAACATTATCAAAAAAAAAAAAATAACTCCAATTATCTATGCTAAAATATGAGAAAGCAAACAATTCAGAATTTCCACAAAAGGTTTCTTATATTTTTGTTACATATCAAAATGGGTGATGAAAGGTGAATATTTACATGCAAAAACTAAAAAAACCTTCAAAATCACAAATCTCAATATGCCATTTCTACTTACTAATTTTTCGAAAGGTCAACTGACTGTGGGTTTCAGCTGAATGCCTCTGAAGAGTAGAAAAAATACAATTCTTTTTCATCATAAAAAATAAATATTAAAGTATAACAATCTATTTTAGAACTATGAAAAACTAACTGTGACAAGTGTCTGTGTGTATAGCAATATTACTAAATAACACAACAGTTACTTATATTAACAAAAAACTTGCAATCACATGGTGTCAGTTTAAAAACAGTGCTCTATATTATATCAACAAAAGCAAATTAAGAAAAGAAGTGCAACTGCTATTTTCATACTGATCTTCAGGTTGCATCTTTGGTGACAAACATTGAAGAGTTTATAAATATTTAATAAGTGAGTAGATAGCATTAGTATGTATTTGCTCTCATACCTACATTTGGAAAGTGATTCAAACTTTTATTCAACACTCTATTCTGTTGTTGGAATATGTAAAATATAACTTTTCTTACTAGTAACAGGGAAGTGTTTATCAATGAGTTAAAAAAACACTCATTGACTAGTTTTCTTTTTGTTGATTTGTTGCATGGGGAAGAGTAAACCAAATGATCTTTCTTTTTTTGTTGGCCTTTTAACTGCTTGTACCTGTTCTTAAAAACTGAATAGTAAATTCAATAAAATATTTCACAGAAACATGATAAAAACTGTAGCAGACAACATAATCTGAAAAATGTAAGATATTGTGTGCACATGATATGAATCCATACCCACTCTTCTATCTGTAGAAATAAACAGCTGCCCATTTGCAGGGTAGGAGCAAGATGCAAATACTAATATAGTCTATCAGAATACTAATATAGTCTAAATGTAAAAGCCAAAGGTGAATCCAATATTTAATTACTGAAGGGTTGTGGAAACAAAGATACTACAACCACAAAAGTTCTTTCATAAGAAGACGGTGCAACAATATCACAAGGCTTTTGATGCATTTTCTGGAAAATGAAGGATAAAGGAAGGAAAAGTGTGGAAGTGGAAATTTGGATGTTTTCCTTTTCTTTTTACTATTGTTTGCTCAATACAAGGCCAAAGTGCCATTCAAGGTAGATGGTTACTGAATGAGGATGTTGCAAGAGTATATGTAGAGGCAACAAGGGTTGCATATTTTGAGGATATGTAGAATAGATAATGATTAACCCTAAACTAGAATAAGTTAACATTGTAGTGATCAGGGAAGCATTCCCTCTGGAGTATGTTCTAGATTGCAAAAATCTGAGTAAGAAGCTGAGTGAAACTTACTCCTTACTAAGGGAATTTGAAGCAAAGGTGGATGAGTTGACCAGCAGTGAAAGTCTGGATTGGAGGAACCAAGGAATATAGTTCACCTGAACATGTGCCATGTAAATATCAGTAGAGTAGCAAGTAGCTAGCAATATTTCATTTGTGAGAAAAGAATTGAAGGGTGAAAAAAATTCATCAACCACAAGCCTGTGCAAATGATTTTGAACACAGTCAAGGTTGGAAAGTGAGAATTGGGAAGTTTCGGCCTAGATGTGGCAGCAATAATCCATTTTTTTTGGTCTAATCTGGCTCCTAGTGAGATAACGACTACAGCAGGAGGAGTCAGGTACTTTCTGAAGTGCTAGAGGGAGCCAACCATTTTCCTAGCGTCTTTAGCATTGGATTGTATTTACGAGCTCCACTTGAGATCTGGTGTAAGCTTGAGTCCCAATAGATGTTTCAGGCAAGAAGCCTCACTGAGAGTACAATCGTTCATGACTTGAGAAAACTCAGGCTCTGATCAGTGATGGAGTATCTTAAAAACCTCATGGAGCTCTTGATTTTATACTGAAAAAACACTCAACATGAAACTGGCAGTTGTGCCTATTTTTTCTTCTTAATTCTTTTTATTTATTTATATTTATTTATATATATATATACCTCTTATTTATATATATATATATACCTCTTAGCTGCAAATATAAATCACACTACCTTTGAGAACATCGTAATTGATCGTAATGAATGGAAGATTACATGCTCCAATGCCATCAAGAACAAGGCAGCATCAAATATTGTCAAGCGTTGTCAAACAAGGGAAAGGAATAAAATATCTGCTGCTGTTCCAGCCATATACTCCAAGAATCCACACTCTTGCACAATCTGTGGACTTCTTAGCAAATCACTAGTGGGACTGAAGTGTCACTTGCGACTCACACACAAGGTTAAATAAAAAAGTTGTTGGAACCTCATACGTTGAAACCGACAGGAGAGTCCATCATATATATATATATTCACACACACACACACACACACACACACACACACATACATAGATAGATATACACGTGTGTGTGTGCAATTTCATAAAAAGTTATATATAAAATTGTATGTAATCACCCCAAAACTGAATAAATATTTTGCATACTAAAAAAGAATTAAATCTTTATTTTTAAAGATTTATCAAAATGTTTACAAATTAAATGAACTTTAATTTTCAGTTTTGTTGCATAACAGAAAATGACACAATGAACAATACTCAACTGATATGAATTTTTAAGTTAAATTCTTATTACTCATTTTAGGTGGGCAACATTAAGACGAATTCTGTTAGCATAAGCAAATCATTTCTGTGCCATGCTGACGCACATGATCAGCTTTTTAAAAGACTAAAATGAACAAAAGCATTAAGAAATGCAATCAAAGCTGTAACTGACCAAATTAACAAGTAAGAAAACAACTTTTTATGTCAACAAGTAGAAATAATGAGTCTCTTCAATGTTCATTAGAACATTTTTACCATTTCCAAGAATTCCTTATTTATAAAATGTTTCAATTCAAACAGACCTGCTTGAATTTCCTCAACAGTTTAGGGATATCTTTCTTTGAAGCCTTTCACACTAAGCTTCTGTTTAATCAACAACTATTTGGTTTACTATCTGTAAAAGTCTTGTAATGAAATTAACCCCAATTTCTCCAGCACACTTTAATGTCAAATCCTCTTGTTAAGATTTTAAATCACTCTTCTCATTTAATAGCTAACTTGATTCTACAAGATGACCCAACCATTAATAACAACAGATACCATCACATGAAATAAAACAATTGATTATAAATATTATGATTTTGCTACACTATACTTCAAAGTTTTAATTATTCTAAATTAATCATAAAGATTGATTTCAGGTGACCATGATAACTGTTGTCATAAAAGTAGATTTGATTATTTGCTAAAATATTTTATATCAACACTGAAACTTGGTCTAAGATTCTCTCAATTGATGACAAAAGTCGGATAATTTTTGCTTATTCAAATGCATTTTGACTATGGAAAGAGTCAGTGGATTAACCCATTAAAATACTACTCTCACATAGGATTTGATATCAATGTTGAAAACTAGAAATGAACTAAAGATCTTTATTTTAATACACTCACAACTGATATTTTGAAGCAAAAGTCTTTCTATTACTCTTTCGTTTGGTTTGTTTTACAGCATATCAACCTCAATGTGTTATTTAATGCTGGCAATATTTTTTCCAAAATGTATTGTTGCTAATATTTTTTTTTCTTCAAAAATCTATTGCTGGCAATAATTTTTCCTCAAAAAATTTATTGATGGTATTAAAACCTATTTTTACACTTTCATAGTGTTTTGACCCCAGTTTGGGACTGACAGGTGTTACTACCCCAGGTCAGGTTTGACCTGGAAACACTAGCAATTAAGAGGTAGTCACTCAAAACCTCCTGATCAGAGGACTTGCTGTTGGACGTAGTTTATCATCATACCCAGGAAGAGGATGTAGTTTATCAACATAGCCAGGACGACAAAATGATTCAGGAAAAGAAATTACAAAATCAAATAGGAAAGGAAACTATAAAAATCTATTTTATACTTTCATAGTGTTTGACTTCAGTTTGAGGGTTAACTATTTGCCCATAGCTGGGACCCTAACAGGTGCTACCACCCTGGGTCAGGGTGGACCTGGGAACACAAACAATTAAGAGGTGGTTCCATGCTTCTCAAAACCTCCTAATCAGAGGCTTTGCTGTTGGATGTAGTTTATCGTCTTACCCAGGATGTTTCTATTACTCTAATTGGTTTACAATAATCATAAAGGCAGGAAGCAAAGCAAGTGAATTGACTGTAAAAAATACCAAAATAGCTTCGGCAAATTTTTCTTTGAAGCCAAGTATGGAACTTTAGAGCCAAATGCAATCTGACTTTTGGGTTTATGATCTGCAAAAAGATGAAAATGTATAGCAATTGAGAGATTAAAAAAAAAAAAAAAAAACAGATTTTAATGAATGGCTTGGATTGAAATCAGAAATCATTCATCCTCTTTAGAAACAATTGTTTTGTTTTTATTTCATGAAACTGTTGTTCGCATGAGATTTGACTGCATTTTGATATGCAACCAAAAGATTTGGTGAATTAGTTTCTTAATATTTATTTAGTTTGCTTTTTTTTAATAAACTGATCATCTGTTTCAAATCCCAAAATTAAGATTTTTTTTTTCTTACCAATTTCCAAATGTGGCATTGGCTGACTTATTGGAAATGAACTTTCTTGAGAACTGCTGTCATCACTGCTTTGTAATTTATTTGCTCTGACAATTTTCTTTAAGTTTATTACCTAAAAATGGAATTCAAAATAAATTCTTAAAAACAAAAAATAAAAACCATTCTCCAGTTGAGCTTATATAAATTTCTTTTTATAGTTGTATAAGCTTTCAAACTATCTTTCAAAAAATTTCATTTTTCAATTTGATTTTTAAAATCAGAAGTAAAAGCAGAAACATAAAATAATTTTTGCACAAAAAATGTTGGGAGGTCAGTATTAAAAAAAAACTGAACAAATAATTTTTTTTGAAAGAATAAATGTAGGTACCTCCACGAGATCGCTAAAAAAAGAGCATAGCATGATGAAAAGACGCCAACCTTGACGAAAAAAAATATTATCGTCTAAATGTTTGTTATTATTAAGAGGAAAGGTCAAAGTATTTTTTTGGGGTATTTTTTCCATTTTTTAATCGTTCCTAGCACGTCCAAAATTTTCGTTAAAAAAATCTAGTTTTTTTTGAGTCAGCAAAATTGACCATTTTTTTCCATTTTAAAAAAAAAACTGGAAATCTGACTTTGAAATTTTTTAAATATCAATTATCATTTTTTTTCAAAACTTATTTTAAGAAAATCAGAAATTATAATGTTTATTTAAAATATTTTGAACCAAACTTAACTTAGCTTTTTGTGCCAAAAAAAAGATGTAATTTGAAAATAAATTAAAGCAGGTCATAAACTTTCGCGTCTCTTGACATGTGATGAATGATATATTTACGAATTCCATGAGGCCAATTTGTTCTACGGAAGGAGAAAAGTGAAATAATTTACATTTACGTGAACAAATTATTTACCCCGTTATTTTTAACGAAAACTTTCAGCGGTCTAATTTTTTTTTTTTTTTTGTACTTAGCTTTCACCTTTACGTTTATGATACTTTATGGGAAATATATTGTAAAGAAATTAAAATAAAACTGTTAAGAGTGACATTAAATTTCATATTTCTTAAGAAAGGTATCTAATTAATTTATAGGTACCTTTCTTAGGAAATTTTATCAGAATTGTACATAAAATACTATAATTTTATGTACATTTATTACATTCTACTGTTATTTGTATTTGCATTCATTTTATTATTAATTTTGATATTTCATTTATGGAAAAATGTCGTAACTGAGATTAATATAAAAATAAGATCATATAAATTTCATAAGATGATACTGATACTTGTAGGTACCCTTCTCAGTTGAAATTGAAAAATCAAATTAACTTTTCCACATGTTTTCGCAAAAGTAAAGGCCTTAACAGCGGAGAACAATGCTTAACTCAAATAACATAACTTAATTATATTCTGGTTGGTCTTCCGTATTTTATAATTACAGCTCGATTATAAGCACAAAATTACATTTCTTAATTACTGGGGATCTTCTGATTAGTCAAAATGATACAATTTACAACGCGCTAAAAAAAAAGATCTATCTCATAAGGACACTTATGAAAGCCGATCTTGACTTTTAACTAATTTTATAATATTTTAACAACTTAAATGTAAAAATCTATTATAATTAATGAAATAACAAATAATTTATTAAAAATTCATTTTTCATCAAAAATTTTTTTGCTTTCAGAAAATATTGTCCATATTCATAAAAACAACTAAAAGCAAATAAAAGCATTTGAAATTAAATAATATATTTGTTTTATTGAGTTTTGTATGTTACAATTCAGAGCTGATTTTCAGGTACTGCGATCCAATTAAAAAAAACAAAAAAAAACATGATTTGCATTCCTCAAAGCCCTGTGCTTTTTAATTATTGTAATCACTAAAACTGATGCGATCGAATTTCTAGCGTTTTCATAAAATTAGTTGGGGGGGGGGTAATAAATATTTTTTAAAATATTTCTACCATGACTTTCATAAAAAAAAAACATATTTATAATAATTTCGATCATCTGTGAATAGTTCCTGAAAGTTTCATTAACATCCGATAATTATTTCTGTTTTTGCACGATTTTTCAAATTAATGTGTGTCATACCAAAAAAATGTGCTAAAAATTGTCTATGTTATTTACTAGTTCCGCTGATACAAATAGAAAAAAGGTTTTTTTAATCAAAATTTAGAATGTTCTAAAAAGAAGGAAAATTTTTTAAAAATAATTAAAAAAAAACTTTGGTCTTTCCTCTTAATAATAACATAAGCATTTAGACAATAAAATTTAGTTTTCGGCAAGGTTGGCGTCTTTTTCATCAAGCTATGCTCTTTTTTTAGCGATTTCGTGGAGGTACCTAAATAAATGTTGCCAAAGATTTCTTAAAAGATATTTTAATAATGAACTATTGACCAAGTTTCTTATTTTAGGTGATATCCCTTAAAAACTGAAATATGTCTTTGTTATTTTTCTAGAGAGTTAAATTTGGTTATTCTTATTTGTGAAGAATTTTTTTATGGTCAACAAAATAACAAAAACAAGATTTCCTTTCTTGTGTACTTTCTACATTCACCACAACTGGAAGACCCTATGTCTGGCAACAGGACTCTGCACCATGCCACACAAGCAGGAGAACCCAGTCATGGCTGTCAGACAATTTCTGTGACCACATCACCCTTTAAATCTGGCCATCTAACTGTCCAGACTGCAACCCCCTTGATTATTATGTGTGGGACGCAGTTGAGCAAGAAACCAACAAAATTCTTTGTAACACCAAAGATGAACAAAGATGGCAAGGATTATGGCATCAATCACCAACTTAAACAAGGCGTCTGTCCAGAAGAGTTGTAGGAAATTCCAAAGTCATCTGGAAGCAGGGATTGAAGCCAATGGTGATTTTATTGAATAAATTTACTCTTTAGTATTTCAAGATATTGTTGTGTGATTTTGGTAAATATATTTGTTAAAATGAAATGTCAGTGTTATTTTCATTTTTGCATAATTTAGATGATAAGTTCAACATTGCAGCCTGTTATATATATATATATATATATATTGTTACAAACTTGTAAGCATATAGATGAACCACAGGTTAAAAAAAAAGGAAACGTGGGATCCTTTCTCCGTCTTCACTCAGAAATGGAAGCGACACAAGGGAGTCAACGAAGAACAGACACAAGACGATGGATTTCAAAACGAAACATTTATTTATAAATATATAAATAGATAAAGAAAGAAAAAAAAGAACATTCATTTAACAAAGGGGAAGGAGATCATTAAAGAACAGAAGGTGCGAGCGAATATATACATATATAAAAAAAAGATCAAGCCAAGAGAATCAACTTATCTGTCAGTCGAGTTGATATTTTCATACAAAATTCTGATTCGCTGAAGCAAGAGTTCTTATGCTGAAACAATATTTTGGTCGGTCGGCAATTTTCCTGGATTCCTTTTCTTTCGGAAGTTTTCAATGTCCACAACATTTTGTGAAGGTGTTTCATTGGGTTGATTCAGTTTTATAGCAGTCCTTTCATCCCTAGTCGATAGGCTTTGCTGTCTTCTTCATCTCAGTGGGCAGTCCATTTGGTATCGGGACGATTTTGCCCAGCAACGTTCATCTGCCAGTGGTCAGACGGAAACTGAAAATCTTTTTTTATATTTTTGCTGTCCCCAAAGACAGTCACGTGGGTTCCCTTCGTCCTTGACCGGGTACACAGGAGGATGGGGCGCAAATCAAGCAGCGTTTGTGTGATGGCCAAAATTTCAATACACGCTTAGTATGTTCTGATCACGTGAATCGCAGCAGTGCCTGGAATTCACTTATGTTCAAACGCCTGATAGCTGCAAAATTTTGGAACCAGGTCATTCCCACATCGGGTCACTTCAAAGTTCACAGGCCCTTGGCTTGTGGGTGGAAGAGTAGGTAAAAAGGAAAAGAATTTGTGAAGAGAAGAGGAGGGTATGGCTGATCATGGAACATATTCGCTCGCAAGTCGAAAGCATTGGATTTTATCTATTTTTATTTATTTTTCTTTTATATCTAACTAATTTCCAACTAGAATTTGAGATTTTACTTTGGGGTGCTTTTTAGCCTTATGCTTATATGGTTAATGAAATCATGGCTACGTCACAATATATATATGCTTAGGAAAATTGATCAGATGTAAATGTATCATCTATTTTTAGGATTGCTAATTGAAACCAAAAAGAAATTTTAAAACAATTACAAAAAAAATTTTTTAAAAATAAAAGGAGGAGTACCTGTGTTTCTTGTTGTACATCATTGGCAAATTGACATTGCTTTGGAATGTGGTCAAATTCAATTTGGCAATTCTGATTAATATCTGCAGATAAAAACAATGGAAAATTCAGCAAATCTCATTTTATACTTCATACATATTCCCCAGATAAAAGTGTGTTTATGTCTGAGACACAGAAGGCCTTACTGAAGAATAAGGAAAAATTAAATAAGGTCAAAACTGAAGTTTAAGAAATAAGATAATCAGCACACGTGAGAGATTCAAATCAGTGATTAATCTAGGATTTACGAGATCCAGTAGTAAGAATATATTTATGGCCATTAAAATATGAAAAATGTCATTTTGGTTAAATGCTATTTGTACGGCAACAAAAAAAATAAGATGTTTCAGGTGAAAAGTTGATAAATTAGGAAAAAAGAAGTGTCTAACAAATCATTATCTGAGAGAATATTGATTGTGAGTCAATGCTTAATGATCACTGATTAATATATTCAGAACGATTAACTAATTAAATTTGATTGCCTTCTAAGTTTTCAGATATTCATTGATGTGTCAAGTAGATCGTTCAAATATCTATACAAATTGACCTATCATAATAATCTTATTTTTTAATCGTTTCACCCCAAGCAAGGCAACAATGTCACTAGGATGCAGGGGGCCACAGGGAGTGAAAGAGCATGAGAAGACTTTAGTGAGGAGAAGTGAGGAAAAAAAAACAATAAGGAAACAAGATTTAAGACAGAAGATGGCAATTGACATTGCATTTAAATTTTTGAAGAATGTAAGTGTCAGGGAAGCAAGAAATCAGAAGGGAGATCGACAGGCAAGAAAAGAAACTATTAGAATAGAACAGTTGGTTGCATCTAGCTACCAGTAAAACAGTGAGACCTAATAGACACTCTAGTAGCACGCTTAAATTCATGTAATCAAAGCAGAAAAAAAAAACTCATCAGAACAGTTGCCATGAAAATATTTGTAGAAAAGATGGAAGCCAGTTCACATCTGTCATCAAGATGCCAGCTCAGGATCGATTATATTACAGACCCTTTTTTGAATTTTGCCAAGAATCTCGAGATATATAGAAGCACAAAACCAGATATGGAAGCAGTATTCAATGCAAATGGTAGATTTATAAATGTGCAAGATTGATTCTAACAAGAAAAATTGTCTGGCACAACACTGAACCAACTTTCCTAGCAGTAGACCTAGCAATTGATTCAATATAATCACTCCCCTTCATATCAATGGGAAACACGAGCCTAAGAAGATGCAAAGTGTTGCTCTCTTGGGATCTAGCATCAGCCATGCTGATGGTAGGCAGAAAAGGTTCTTTGTTGCAATTAAATGGAAAAAGTTTTGTTTAGGAGGCATAAAAATTTACAAGACATTGTTTGCCGCAGTTAACAGCTGATTGGAGGTACTTTTCGAGAGCAGTTGCCAGATTTATTTTGCTAGGTTTGCTATTAAGACAATAGTAAATAGTTGTGTCATCTGCATAAATACCTAGTTGGGAAGGGATAACATCAGGAAAGGTCATTGCTGAAGATCAGAAACAGTGTAGATTCAAGTATAAAACCCTGGGGATACCTGTATTAATAAGAATTGATCTAGAGGCATGCCAGTTCAACACAACCCTCATTATACGATTTGTTCAGAATGATTGGATTAAGCCATATATTCATCCGACAACATCATAACCCTTGAGTTTGTGGAAAAGGCCAGCATACCAAACCCTATTGAATGCCTTTGAGATATGTAGAGTCACAGCCCAAGTTTTGCCATTCTTATCTAAAGCAATGATAGACAAATTCAATGATGGCTAGGTAGTACCTGAATGAAAAGTGTTAGTAATTCCTACCAATTTTTTATTTTTTTTTTTTTGCTTTTATTAGCCAACAATCAATTTAACACATCCCAAACCCATGGTACCACATAAACAAAAAACAAATATGACATGCAGTACTTTTCTAAGGGAGAAAAAAATGAAGCCATGAAAATAACCCCCCACACACACACACAAAAAAAAATTCAGCAAACAATAATAACTTGGTGTTTATTATACTTGCAAAAATCAAAGGAAAAGTAAGAATAAAAGTACCTTTGCAAAAATGATGTGAATGGCAGAACTGAAAGATGGTAAAAGACAAGGCGGTAGATGTACATAACACACACTTCGGCCTCTCTCCTTCAAGTATTCCTTTGCAGCCACAGATTAAGCTTGGCTACAACCTTCTCCAGAACTTCTTATCAATTCTTCTCTAGCTGGAGGTCAGGACCAAACTAGATGCCAAATATCTTGCAAGTCCATCCAACTAAAGGGGCCTGTGAGAGGGAGGCAACAAACTTATCACAGTTCATTTTTGCCCCTGTGTCTGTCTCATACATGCAAATTTCTCTTCCAACTTCATCATTCTCGACACTTTTCATTACAAGTATGGAAATGTTGTCAGCATATATATTGCATATATGTTGCCTGCTTAGTTTGGACTTGCATATTTTTTTTTTTAAGTGTTTCACCCCAAGCAAGGAGGAAAGCCACTAGGACGCAAGGGGTTACAGAAAATTTGGAGCAAGATCAGATAGGAGTGATAGAAGAAAGGATGAGGAGAAGAGTAGTGGATAGATCAAGGCAACTGGAGATACAGAGATGAGAAAAAGAGTACCGGAAACCCCTTCCTAAACAAGAAACAAGGCGTAAGCCTCTACTCATGTCCAAGAGAAGGGGGAGGAGTGTTGAATGTCGCCTGCTTAGTTTGGACTTGCATATATATTGTTTGCTTAGTATTATTTTGCCCTGTTCTTTTTCTTTCTTTTGTGATTGTTTATTGAGAGCTCTGCCAATTCTGTTTGTTGAGTATTTTATCAATTACACTTAAAATGAGATGAGAAGTTTTAAATTAATTTTTTTAAAGATATTTATTTGACTCAATATAACTTTGTTATAAAATTTTCAAATATCTAATGTTGTGAGAATACCCCACCTTGTCTGCCATGTGCACTTCCACCAATGCCCACTCGCTAGTGTTATTAACTCCCTCTCTCTTCTCACTCTTTTTACCTATGGGATGCCATAGTAACAAGACATGTAACTTCTTAGTCTCCAGCCCATGTGTCACGTCGCATACAACAAAATATTATCACTATGTTATCTCCCATTCAGAAATAAAACTCATGCAATATATCTCCAGCAAGAAAATATCCCTCTTCAATAAAAAAGTTAAAGCTGTTACAAACTGTCCTAATGAACTGGTAACTTAATACCATTACAATCTTACTTCATTTTATTATCTTGTTCTCATTTTACTTGTATTATTATTTTGAGAGAATGAATTCATACGATAAACCATTTCCATTCTTATGTTTTGTAAATTAACCCATTAACAGCCAAATTTTTTTAATGCGCATTTTTGGCCCAGACAGGTGTCTTAGGAGTTTATTTATTCCTATATGTTTAATTTCAGTAGTTACCTTTGTCGTTTTTATAGAAACTAGAACCTCAAATATATATGTGTATAAAACATCAAAGAATAATATTGATTAGAAATAATAAAAAAATACTTTTCAAAATGGTCATTATTTTTCTACTTGTGAAATATAAAATTATGACAGAAAGTGTCTTCTTAAGGCAAATAATAAAAACTTTAAAGGCTAAGTGTTGTAAAATATACCTCTGCAAATGCAATGTATGTAAGCAATTCAGTGTAAATACAAGGAATAACATGTAGTGAGTTTAATTTTAACAGATCCCCAAATGGGTCTCATGACAGGTAATGGGTTAAGTAAATAAATGTTGAATTTGTTTATTTTAAAATTATCAAAAAGTTTCTACTGAATTTGCTAGGGGTCACATGGTTAAAACAAAGAGGCCTCCACCTAAATATAAACTTTGGGTTCTCAGTTCAATGCTCTAAAAATGTGTTAAGCACTGCCATGAGTGAATGCTATGAAGACTTTTAGCAATATAAAATCATAAGACAAATTACATTTAAAAAACGAATGACATAACTGGAAAAAGAAAGACTAACCATTTTCATTGGCAGTTTCATAAGGAGGTCGTTTCATAGTGAAGATCTTACGCAGTTGACAAGTTGCTGTGACACACACACTTTCAACAGCCTTAAAGGTTTGTCCCCTCCACAAGTCACCAACTAATGAAACAAGGTCAAGGCACAAATTCAGCCACTGAAGCAAAGGTAAAGGAGTTAATTACAATCAAATAAGAAATTTATTTTCTATGTTCAAAAAAGACTAAAACATTGGGTCGTGTCTATTAAATATGGAAACAAGACTATTACATTTACTTATAAGTGATTGATTGATATACTATAAAAAATCAATTTGGTAATTGTCACAAAAAAAAAAAAAAAACAACAGGAAAAAAATTTACCATTTTGTCAAAAATTCAATGTTTTCCTGTAATTGCTCTGTTATTTCAAAACATTCCTTCTTTCCGTTTATTCTACTTCACTTCTACATCAAGTGAAAACAATTATCATTCCTTGAAATGTTTAAGTGTAGCTTTTTAAAAGAGAACAATATTTCTCTTTCCTTAACATCTATAGAAGCTTTCCATTCAGTAATGTTGTTTTTTTATGTGCATGGTGTTTTAATAAAATGGTGAAATGAAAGAAAAATCTTATTAAAATACATTCTTGATGCTGGTAGGGCTTCATGGTAATTTAAAGATATTCAATAATTCTATAAAATGCATTTAATGCATGCACAAAAAATGGCTGGCTGTTTGTGAAGTCTGCTTAGCAATTGATATAGTAACACTAAAATGGCCTGTGCATGACTCCAGGAAAAAGGTAGGAGTTTGAATGAAGATTTTCAAAATAGGAAGCTCCTCCTCTTTGGAATATTTGATGCAACATAATCATCTTCTCCCTCCACTTGAGTAAATCTCGGTGTTCCTGTAAGTTTTGACGTTTGAATGTCCTTAACTCTATGAAAATGTGCTCAATTTTGTTTTTATTGAAAGTCAAAAAGGTTTTCATTGTTAAATATCAGTTAAAATGTGTACTGTGTTCCGAGACTTACCATTCCTCTTTTGATGATATTCAGAGGCACTTTAGCATGAAGTGGTGTTGATTGGACTTCTTTTTGGGTAGTAGAGAACAGAATTCTGCGTTTATTACTGCTAATATCTACAACTCTGAAATGACATAACATAATTTGACATTTTCTTTGTAGTTGAAGAACTTCATCACAAGCCAAAAGGTTCAGGTTTTTAATAACATCAATACAATTTAAAGGTTGAATGAACTAAAAAGAGCAAGAATTTCTTTACAGACAATATGGAGCAAAGCATTTATTCAGATTAATATCAAGCTACAAACGAAATATATTGATTCCTGTTCAATACAGACAAAAACATTTAGATTTTGTCAACAGGTAGAATACAGGAAAGAAGATTTATACATTTTCAAAATGTATCAGTGTGAATTGTATCTATTCAGAGCCTCAGCAGAGGACACAATTTTTTGTGTTGATAACTCTCCGTTTACACATAAAATACTTGAACACAAATAGATTTCTGGTTTCAATTCAATTTCAAATAGAGTAGCCAAAAGCATTTACACAAGTATTATGCACAAATTCTGCAGAATGGTTGGAAAAGAGGATTTTGTACAGAAATATTACAATATCAAATAGTAATACTAATACTGAATATACATCACAAAGATGCACTAGAGTTAATGTTAATACTGAGTTGACTGATAGTTTTTTAGTCTTTCATTATAATAAAAAGATAATAACACTTTGTTAGCAAAAAAATTATATTTTTTGTCACGGTTATAAAGTGAGGAAATGTGAATTTATTATAGTTTCACTTATAATGATTAATATTTCCATTTTGTCCAATTGATTAAATGACCCAAATACAAGCTTCTCTAGTGATTTTCACTCTTGATATTTGTTCAGAAAATGTCCACACACTTCCCATTTCTGTATCATCTTTAAACCTCCTAATACACAATGTAAAGAAACCTTCCTGGTAAACTGATTTCTCAGTCATAGTCCAAATAACGATAGGACATTAAGCTTCAACATCCAGCCACTATGTTATCATCATGATACTTACCCAAGTTCAATGGAGAAATCTTGACCCCTATTAACATAGGATTGAAAAATCAGATAATGTTGGACGAGAACCACTGAAAAGTAACAAGAAAAAGTTATCTTCCACTGACAATTTTGATAAACAAATAAAATAAATCAGGTTACATTTGAGAAGAAAATGTCATACCAAATAAATAATGTATTCATAATTGGTTTGTTTGTTTTGTTTTATGGCATATCAATCTCAATGGGTTATTTAATGCTGACAAGATTTTTATTGCTGGTAATATTTTTTTTACAAAAATGTATAGCTGGTAATATTTTTTTTCCTTCAAAAAAGTATAGCTGGAAATTTTTTTTTCTCAAAAATGTGTTGCTAGTAATATTTTTATTCCCCAAAAATGGGGGGGGGGATAACTATTTGCCCATAGCTGGGACACTAACAGGTGCTACTACCACAAGTCATGGTGGACCTGGGAATACAATTAAGAGATGGTTCCATACTCCTCAAAACCTCCTGATCAGAGGCCTTGCTGTCATATGTAGCTTATCATATTAACCAGAATATTCATAATTGAGTTGAACCAATTAATTGCCTGATAAATGGTAATATCAGCATTTGTTGATGAATTGGTCATCATTGTTTCTTTTTTGTTTTGCTGCTTTTGCACTCATTCTTGTTTATTGCCTTACAGAAATTTCAATCATAGCTTAAGAATCATCAGTTATTTTAAACATACAATGAATTCAAATAATATTTTAATAATTATTTATTATTTTTTTCCTTTTTGCAAATCAATTTTGTCATTAATTACCAATAAATCAGTAAAATCTGAATCAAAATCATACAGATATAAATAGTGTGCATAAATGCATATTGGCTACTCTTTCCCAAGTTCTTGATTAAACTAAATAATATGTGAATAATGGCCTTAACAAAAATAATACTTTATGCTTGCTATAATTTTGAGAAGAGTCCATACCATTCCTAGTATATTAAACTCATTCTTTTTTGTTGCTTTTGTGGTTTCCACCATCTTTTAGCCAATTCATTCTGTGGCCTTCTTCAGGTACAAAACCTAAAGCAAAGATTGTGGGGGTGGGTCTCTTTTGTCCAGAAGATGGCAGCCTACAATGTCAAGTCTGCACAAATCTACTAATCAACTAAAATCATTATGGTGACAACAAAAGCAACAAAAAGAAGTTGTATTTTTATTTTAAGCCAAGATGTTGTTAGATGGTATTAGGAATGTTTAATTTTAACCAACTTCACGCAAAAAGATCACATTGAAAAATGGAATAAAATAAGCAATATTTTTACTATATTTTGCTATTTTTAAAGAAATGGCAAAATAGAACAAAAATTTATATTGATTGTGGAAAAGGTATTTGTTAATGATTAAACACTTCAAAAGTGGTTTGTAAAGTTTTGTACTAGAGATTTCTCATTGAATGATGCTACAAAGTTAAGTAAACTAGTCGTGATTGACAGTCAATCAAAGGCAGACATTACTTTGGCTTAATCAATATTATATAACATGAAAGATAACCGGTATATACAAAATATCTAAATAAAGCAGTGAAATCATTTGTATAGCTTTGTTATCTTAGTTATTTTCATGTTTAACATTCATATAAAATTAGGTACCTCCACGAAATCGCTAAAAAAAGAGCATAGCTTGATGAAAAAGACGCCAACCTTGCCGAAAACTAAATTTTATTGTCTAAATGTTTATGTTATTATTAAGAAGAAAAGACCAAAGTTTTTTTTTTAATTATTTTAAAAAAATTTTCCTTCTTTTTAGAACATTCTAAATTTTGATTAAAAAAACATTTTTTCTATTTGTATCAGCGGGACTAGTAAATAAAAACGTTTTTTTGGTATGACACACATTAATTTGAAAAATCGTGCAAAAATAGAAATAATTATCGGATGTTAATGAAACTTTCAGGAACTATTCACAGATGATCGAAATTATTATAAATATGTTTTTTTTATGAAAGTCATGGTAGATATATTTTTTAAAAATATTTATTACCCCTCCCATAACTAATTTTATGAAAACGCTAGAAATTCAATCGCATCGGTTTTAGTGATTACAATAATTAAAAGCACAGGACTTTGAGGAATGCAAATCATGTTTTTTTTTGTTTTTAATTGGATACACAGTACCTGAAAATCAGCTCTGAATTGTAACATACAAAACTCAATAAAACAAAGATATTATTTAATTTCAAATGCTTTTATTTGCTTTTAGTTGTTTTTATGAATATGGACAATATTTTCTGAAAGCAAAAAAAATTTTTTCGATGAAAAATGAATTTTAATACAATTATTTGTTATTTCATTAATTATAATAGATTTTACATTTAAGTTGTTAAAATATTATAAAATTAGTTAAAAGCGCATCGGCTTTCATAAAGTGTCCTTATGAGATAGATCTTTTTTTTAGCGCGTTGTAAATTGTATCATTTTGACTAATCAGAAGATCCCCAGTAATTAAGAAATGTAATTTTGTGCTTATAATCGAGCTGTAATTATAAAATACGGAAGACCAACCAGAATATAATTAAGTTGCGTTATTTGAGTTAAGCATTGTTCTCCGCTGTTAAGGCCTTTTACTTTTCGAAACACGTGGAGAAGTTAATTTGATTTTTCAATTTCAACTGAGAAGGGTACCTACAAGTATCAGTATCATCTTATGAAATTTATATGATCTTATTTTTATATTAATCTCAGTTACGACATTTTTCCATAAATGAAATATCAAAATTAATAATAAAATGAATGCAAATACAAATAACAGTAGAATGTAATAAATGTACATAAAATTATAGTATTTTATGTACAATTCTGATAAAATTTCATAAGAAAGGTACCTATAAATTAATTAGATACCTTTCTTAAGAAATATGAAATTTAATGTCACTCTTAACAGTTTTATTTTAATTTCTTTACAATATATTTCCCATAAAGCATCATAAACGTAAAGGTGAAAGCTACAAAAAAAAAAAAAAAATTAGACCGCTGAAAGTTTTCGTTAAAAATAACGGGTAAATAATTTGTTCACGTAAATGTAAATTATTTCACTTTTCTCCTTCAGAGAACAAATTAGCCTCATGGAATTCGTAAATATATCATTCATCACATGTCAAGAGACGTGAAAGTTTATGACCTGCTTTGTTTTATTTTCAAATTACATCTTTTTGGCACAAAAGCTAAGTTAAGTTTGGTTCAAAATATTTTAAATAAACATTATAATTTCTGATTTTCTTAAAATAAGTTTTGAAAAAATGATAATTGATATTTAAAAAAATTTCAAAGTCAGATTTCCATTTTTTTTTTAAAATGGAAAAAATGGTCAATTTTACTGACTCAAAAACTAGATTTTTAACGAAAATTTCGGACGTGCTAGGAACGATTAAAAAATGGAAAAAAATACCCCAAAAATACTTTGACCTTTCCTCTTAATAATAACAAACATTTAGACGATAATATTTTTTTTCGTCAAGTTTGGCGTCTTTTTCATCATGCTATGCTCTTTTTTTAGCGATCTCGTGGAGGTACCTATATAAAATGTCCAGAAATGAGTTTTTCAAAAGTCATAATATTCCATTAGCATAACGATGGTCATGTTTCTTGCTAACCAATGCTTTAAGCATGTATGAGAGCAAGAATTATCTAGAATATCTCAATTTTTTTTTTTTTTAGAGAAGTTGAAGACCAAAAGCAAAGAAATTTCAAACACATCACCCCTGCATACAGGATGCCCTTTTAATAAGAAAGACAAAAGAGAAAAAAAAAATGATTTTTTTTTTTTTTTTTAACTTACAAGTCTGTCGAGAATCTTTTGGAAGTGTCATCTTTGTGGTGCTGGTGGTTCCTTCCAATGAATAAATAAAACCTTTAACTTCCCTTTCATAAACCTATCAAGAAAATAAAGACATTCTTGTTATAAAAATATATAATCACCTTCAATCTTTGAAGGTAGGTGCAATCACAGAATACTGCACATTATAAATTGACCAGACATAGCATACAAAAGATAGAAAGTAACAGATTACCAAAGATCTAGATATCAGATCATAGGTTTGAATGAGAACCTGTTGGTAAAATAAGCAATGCCATAAGCTCTATCGTAAAAACTTAATTAAGAAATCCAGAGTAAAAACTCTTATAATTAAATGTAAACTGAAACTTTCAAAATCCTTCAACAAATTCATTATTCTTGTAAGGAAAAATTTCAACTCACCCTCCTTGTTGGAGTTTTTGGGTACCTTGGTGTACTAGTGAACCAGCCAAAATGAGGTGACTCATTTTATAGTTCACCAATAAAAGGGTTAACCAATCAGAAGGCTCAAAATATTCAATGCGACGTGTATAAAGGCGGCCATATTTTTTTTTCCCGAATACTCACTGGCAACCTTTGTTCATGAGTGTTAATCTTTAACATTGTTTCATTGAACAAATTACGTACTGCGCTGTATTCTATATTCATAGACTATGGTGAACATAGTCAACACTCTTGACTCCAAGTTTGATAAAAGCAGAAAGGTTTAGCTGTCTTACTTCTGGTTTTTTGCAAGAAAAAAACTGAATGTAGGAGAGCTAAAGGTAGGAAGATAAAAAAAAAAACATGGTTGAGCCATGGATTTTCAGGAGTGTATTGCAACAATTGTCCCATCTGTAAGCCTTGTACTTATGACTACAAGTCTTGTTGTTCTATCACCATCTTTCATATTCTCTAACAGTCAAACTACTACTGCTTCTCTTTGATCAGCATTCTCTTTTTATACGGAAGGATGTTATGCATATACAGATATGCATCTCAGATAAATGCAAAGCTTCCTTCTAAGAACATTTTTTCTTTTCAGTTGTGCTCACCAAATCATACATATTCTACTTGGTGTCTCTTTTAATGTCAACTGATGTAAGTCTCTGGTTTTCACTTGTTCTCTTAGAGTCATGCTTCCTTTTCTGTTGCCACCACAAAAAAGATAAGCAATGTCTTATTCTTCTTAAACATTAATTCCAAAAGAGCAACATTAAATAAACAAAATACCTGTGATTAATTCAAGAATGAAAAAATATATAAAACCAGTAGAAAATAGTTAAAAGCAAAAAAATTCAATGAAAATCATTTTTAATATCTTAATAAAAATTATACTTTTGAATTCAGTTACTAATATTTTGTTGTTTCACTAATTGTCTGATCTCTTTATCCAAATATCTGAATAATCTTTCTCAACTCCATTCAATGAATTCACTGAATAACAAAATCTTTCACCAGAACTTCAGCTACTAATTTTCTAAGCAGATATCCACATAAAATTTGTCAAAATTTAAGTTTTTGACATTTTCAAAAAGTATATCAAAACAACTATATCCAATATCAGCTACTATTTTCTGTCTCAGTTTTTGGAACATGATATTATTAGCATTACATGATGAGTTTTTTTTAGACTTGCATTCTTATCATTATCATTGACCATTATCTTCGGATGTTCCACATGTGTTTGTCATATCCAAATAGAATAATTTGATTACAAGCCTTTGTTTTATACAAGTTGTTTTCACACTCAGGATTTTGTCATGTCCAACATTTCTTCATCACACTTTGTAATCCTCCCTTCCCCACTCCACCATACTGCCAAAGATCAACACTGGAAAATATATAGAATGATATAAATAAGCAGAATAGACGTACTGCTTGAAAGATCCAATCAGCAAGTTTAGACATGAATACCAAATGAAAGTCTTAACACTTCCATGATCACATTGGTTTAGAAAACCCACAGTTGAATGAATATAAAAAGTTGGCTTCATAAGTGGGTGAAGCAATGCATCAGTTCAGTGAAAAAAGTAGAGTAGAAACAAAAAATGTGATGATTATCAAGTCTAAAATTTACCAGATATTATGAAATGTCAAGAATGAGAACAATATTTCCTACAAGGGACAAAATAGCCAACCAAATCTTTCTGTAACAAACATGACCATCAATACAGCAAATCTCTAATAATGAACAATTTTTGTAATGACTCTAGTAAATTGTTAAAATGAAAATAAATTGTTGAGATGAATACTAAAAAATAGAACAAGCTGATTTTAGAAAATATCAACATACTCTTAACTAAAACAATTTTCTAAGCAGATATCCACATAAAATTTGTCAAAATTTAAGTTTTTGACATTTCAAGAAGTATATCAAAACAACTATATCCAATATCTGTCTATATTTCTGAGATGAGGTATTATGCACACTATTTACATTATTCGGACTATTGTCCTCATCTTTGTTGCCATATTTATTACAACATTTCAGCCGTTGTACACTCTGGCCTTCTTCAGGTGGTTGAAATGTCAAATTGAACCCTTTATTTCGCTCACTGGGGTAGACTGTTCTAGTTCCACATGCCATGTCTAATGGATGTCAGTTATCTCCTGTTACTTCCCCTCTCAAAGTTCTCCACCACCTTAAGGACACGTGACACAGTGAATAAAGATGTTAGTTAGATCCAGTGACAGGAACCAAAGAGTGTGAGTTCAATACCCGATTAAGGCAGTAGAGAACTTGGAGAGGGGAATTAACAGGAGAGAACTGATAACTGACATCCATCAAACATGGCACGTGGAACAGTCTACCCCAGTGAGCGAAATAAAGGGTTCAGTTCGACATTCCAACCACCTGAAGAAGGCCAGAACATACAACGGCTGAAACATTGTAATAAATAAGGCAACAAAGATGAGGACAAGAGCCCAAATAATGTAAATAGTGGACTATATTCAAGTCAAGAATACATCTCAATATTTAAGTCAGTACATTCCCAATTTATGAAATCCTCAAAATCTTCAGATACAAAGCAAAAATGCCATTTATAAATTACTTGCAAATTTTTAAAAGTCTGATTTAAAAGGACAACTTAAAACATACCTTTTTGATACCTGCACCACCAACAAGTTTCCAATTGGCCAAAACATCTTTCCCCTGGGCAGAAAAAATTTCAAAATAGGCTCCTCCCTTAAAAAGTAAAAAATTCAAAATATAAAAACAATAATGCCTGACTATTAAAAACATTGACATGATTACACATGACAAGATAAATGGCAGCCATAAACGAAACAAATATCACTGAAAAGCTGTCAGGTCTACAGACTGGAAAAGAAAAGATTACGATTTTATGCTACATGTAAATCCCTTTGCCCAATGCAAAACATGATCTATTTTTGCAATTACAAAGTCTCAACAACTATAATGAATTATTTTCACTCATCATGTTTTTCAAATGTAAAACAGAAACCAGTGTTTGTTGAATTTCTTCCCCTATAACTAAGACTGATTCCATCAATAAAACCATCATTAGTCTAAAAAAGCCCCTTTTTCAGTGGGTGGGGACAAGACACATTACATAGGAATTGTTTCTATTTTGTCATTAAGTTACCCAAGACTAAAAAATGATTTTCATTCTGCAGTCGTTTGTTTTAAAATTATTAATGTTTTCAGCAATTATCTAATATTTTATAGAATTTTTTAGTTACTTATATATTTATTTATAGCTTTATGTTTTTATCAAAATAATTCTCACAAAAAAAGAATAAACTTAAAAAAAAATAAAGTAAAAAATAAGAAACTACTAACAAAAATTAATTTTATTCTATTGAGAGTCCAGATATAATTTATTTACATGCTCCATTGTTTGTTTACTTTGTATTGTTGAAATTTTTCAACATTTGTATTTTTTGAAAATTTATATTCATGTTAACTTCACCTCAAGAGGACCTTTTTTTCTTTAGCATTGGGATATTAATGCTAATCCATTGTTGCATGGACTTCCCTCCACAGTGTGAAGTTCTTTATAGAAATATTGGACTAAGTTTGTGTAACGAAAGACATGACTTACCTCAGAATTCGAAACGAGCGCAAATGTGTCTTGCCTGCAAAGTAATGACAAAAAGAAATATGGCCACTATTGAAGACACAATTTATGCGAACATATTTTGTCCAAAATGAGATGATATTTGCACACATGCAAATTTTGGCCGTCTCGGAATAGAATAAAAAGTGGGGTGCCAGCAGCACCAAGTGTCAGGGAGTCATTCGGCGGACTGCGTCTAATAGAGCTGGACATATGGATTGACAGGTGGACAAAGAGGATGTCAAAGCAGGCACAACTGAGTTGGTGTCTGTTTCACAACTGCCGAGTGTAATGGCTGAGAAAGGGTGTCATGCAATCCATTTCCTTTCCTTGAGGCGACCGAAGAAAAAAAAATACTGGTCCGCTGGCAAGCAATGCACTTTTTGACCCCCTCCCCCGCATCATCATTTTTTTTTATCTACAGTTTGCTCTCTGTTTCTGTACTAATTCAGCTACCAATTTAAAGCAACACACTCCAAACCCCAAAATTGTTAACAGGCATTGGATGCAGCGCTAAAAGGCATCATCACAAAACCAAAATTTGAAATCCCAGCAACCAGGTAAGCATGTGGTCATTTTTTTTATATTCCTGTTTGCTTGTTAATGACTCACATTTTTTTTTGCTCCTTATTAGTTTGTCAAGCTTCCAGCCAACTAAAATATTCCCTTAAAGTTTATTTCTTTTTTTCTTCAACATTTTAGATATTTTACGATGTTCACTCTGTTATACTTGAATTTTTGTAACATTTAGTCACCATCTGTCAATGTATTCCCAACATTTTGTGACATTTAGTTATAATCTGTTAATGTTTTTACAAGATAGCTTTTGAAATAAAATATATCAATGATTATGTTCAATGTAAATTTACAGAGCATTAATATTATAAATTAATTGATTTAAAATTTAATTTTGTAATTAAGTAATTTAATTACAAAATTAAATTCGAAGCTTTTAGCTTCCATTTTTGAAACATGGTTAGAACTGTGTAGTGAAAAAAAAACACATTTTAAATCAATTTATAATATATATAATATATATATATATATATCTTATTGAACCCCGTTCCTTTTTTCACCTTTCCTCAATCCTCCCCATTTTTATTGTTAAACTAGCTAGATGCAACTGCCATTTCTATTCTGACAGTTTTTTTCTCTCACTTCCCTTTTGATTTCTTGCTTCCCTGATAACTACAATCTTCAAAAATTTAAATGCATCACCATCTTCTGTCTTTTTGAACCATGTTCCTTTTTTGTCCTTTCTTCAATCTTCTCCATTCTCAATCATCTCATTCTCTTTCACTTCCTGTAACCCCTTGCCTTCTAATGGCATTACCACCTTGTCATATCCTGTCAGCACTCCCATTTTTTTCTTAAAAGTGATCATTTAAAACTTATTCTGAATTAAAAAGGCATAAAACAAAATACCATTCCTGGGGTTCATTTTAAAAGTTGTTGTTTTTATGCCCCTCCCCACGGACAATACTTTGTACATAAAGGGGATTATTTAGGTTTTTTTCATGGAGTCAAACAGGCATTTTGGTGTTTGTTGTAAAAAAGTATGGATAAACAGTTGTTTTGGTGAAAGGATTATTGTTTGTAAAACTTGATTCTAGCTAATAGTCTAAGACAAATGGTCCCATAAAACATTAAAAATAATCATTCTGTGGCCTAGATGACTAGGATTAAAGTGTAGTATCTGTTCCAGCAGCTAACAGCTGGTCCACAGTTCCAGCCATCAGCAGCAATTCCAATTAGCCATCATCATCTGCTCCAGCTATCTCCAGTAGGCCTTCAGCGCCAACATCCTCATCAGCAGCAATGATTAAACTGTACTGTTCAGGATAATGCTCTTTAGCAACTAAAAAAATTATCCTTTTCAGGACAACTTTCCTTTTCAAGACAACGCATTTTTCACCCTCTACATGAGCATGCACTGTACTGCCATTTTTTCTTTCTAGAATCTTGCTTAAAAAGAGAAAAAACACTGACCGATGTTTGTTTCCTAAATTTGAGTGAAACCCATTTTCCTAAATGCAGTATCTTTCCTACAGCTGACTGGTTACGTCAGCAATAACATGTTGACCTACCCTCAAAGGCTCTTCTAAGATTTTCTTAATACAATGAAATGGCATTGGAAACCTTTACAACAACATAACTTATCCGTATTTGTGAAACTTATCATTTTTGGCAGTGCGAATCAAATAGTTACTCCATGCCAGAGTGTGCATATATTTACAAAGCTTAGTTTGGCACAAGGCCATGAGTAATGAATAATACTGAACTCACAACTCACCAATAAGGTTAGCCAAAATACCTTGTTAACAATTACTCAACACTGAGAGGGCTAAATGTTTATTAAACTTAGTTTGGCACAAGGTCACAAATACAGAATACCCAGTGAAGAATGGACAGCAGTAAAGCACAGCCGAATTAGCTTATTAACCATTATCCAACGCTGAGGTGCCCAAATGTAACCATTATTCAACCTAGTTACCCATTTGTTTTTTAAATTAAATTTTATAGATAATTAAATTTTTGTTGATGTACTTTCTTTAACGAAAATAAACTTATCAATATATTTTTTTACTCTTCACTTTGTCTTCCATCATTCAATATCTGTTTGTGGACAAACATACTGCCTTCAACAACCTTACTTGGGGTAAAATAATTTTTAAAAAATGTTACTTAGAAAGGACATAGGCATTGTCAAGTAAATCACCTTGCTTGCCTTATGAGGAATAAGTAACAAGTTTAACACGGTATTCTTACAATGTCTTGCCTGAAAGGAGCAATAAGTCATCTGATGAAATAAGATTTTAAGAAGAAGGGAAATCAACTTTTAATCTTCTTTTTTGTCAATTTACAGGAATTGTTTTTTTTTATTTTCACGAAAATTATGTAGGCCACATATTACAAGGAAAAAAATGTCTTAAATAAAGATAATCATTTTTCTTTACAAAAAAAATTACATATACAAAAATAGTTTCAAATTCGCTTACTTTACCTGATAATCGTTCTTGAACATCCTAATTAACTAGCACTTCCAGGTGAAAAGTCTATCAACAGAAAAAACATAACATTTAGAGACAAAAATACTTTTTTTTATGAAATTGTATATAAGGTCGACCGCTTCCATAAAAAAAAAAAAAAACGTTAGAAAGGGTTAAAAAATATAATTTAATAATTAAAAGACTTTTGGTCTTTCCTCTTAAACATTTTGACGATAAAACTGTTTTTTGTTGGGACTTTTTTTCATCATACTATGCTGTTTTTTCAGCGAGCAAATGGAGGTACCTAGAATATTTTTTTAAAATAATTTACGAAAATTTAACTTTTTTCGGTAAACCTTTAAAAAGTCTGAACGTTTTCTTTCAATGAATGAACAAATAAAGATTTTCTGATGAAGTTTGTTTACTTTTCAATTCAATAAACAGTTTTTTGTCAGTTTGCGAAAAAACATGAGGAGAAAAAAAAGAAAACACAAGCACATTTTCTTAGAATTATTAAAGATAATTATTAATCATCGATGAGATTTGTAATTTTTTATGTTCTTTTTTATACGAAAAGTTATTTTTGAAAAGTTGAGATTTTTTTTCGTAACTTTTGTCAAGTTTTAAAGAACAACTTCAAATTAAAAAGTTACTTTTTTTCTCCAAAACATTTTTGATTAGACAACCAAAATAAAAAAAAATAAACATTTTCTATTTACCTGTTAATTAATTCAAGAAAAAATAATTTTTATCTTATGAAAACATAAGTAACTGGTAGAGAATAATCGAAAAACAAGTAACTGATCTTCGCATTAAAGGAGATTGTCAAATTGTCATAATGACAACAACAAAAAAATGAATTGTTGTCGTCTCCAAAACGCCATGTTGAAATTTTCAGAGGAGACAACTCAGATAAACTTTTTATCATGAGGTTTAATGTTAAGATCAAAGGGAACTAACTTTGATTCTATTTAACTAACTCATCTATTATTTACTCAAAAATTCAAAGATATATCGTCGAGAAAGAAAGAGCAATGTAAATACAGAAGGATGTATACCTGTATTTTATAGATTATGTAAAAACGTTTGATAAAGTACGTCACAAAGAACTTTGAACTGCTAGATAACCTTGACAAAGAATTTTAAATAATCCTGATATCCACATATGGATAGAAAATGAATTCAGTAAATAAAAAAAAAATAGAAATAGAGGTAAGACTGTAAGACAAGTATGTGTCTTTTCAACTGACTTATTCAACCGATACAGTGAGGCAATCCTGGGAGACTTAGAAGTCCTACCAGGATTCATTATTGACGGCCACAATTTTAACAAGTTAAGAGGCAAATGACACAGCGTTGATAGCAGAAGCAGAAACTTGTTGCAGAATTCTATGATGTTTTGGCAAATACGTCACTATTTTGATGTGGGAATCAACACTTTTGATATGAGGCTTTAACAACATTTGTCCTGCAAACAATATTGGCGGGCTTGTGGTGAGTACGAAAGAATAATAACTCACTTTACCCACTCCCTTCAAATTCGGGCGAGCTGAGGAAAAAAAAACGTAAACAAATTCACAAGCCTATGTGAAATTATCTTTGCATCAAAGAAAACTTTAAATTTACAGAGATTGGCCAGTGAGCTAAGAAAAAAAAGAAACTAAATTCGCGAGCCTATGTGAAATTTTCTTTGGGCCAATGAAAATCTTGTTTTCACAGGAATTAGCCGTTGACCCTAGAAAAAAAAAAAAATAAAATAGCGAGCCTATGCGAAATCTGATATAAAATAAGGGAAAAAAATTAAATCACGAGGAGAACAAAGTCTGAAGTCACGTGAAAAGTTTCATTTCCGTTCACGCGTCCAATGTTCAGATTTTTGCCAGTGTCTGATTACACGCTAATTATATTATTGGTGTTATTCTCCATCACAATAGATTTCTTTCTGATTCATTCGGCACGCTGGTCGGATGTGAATGCCACGAAGGTAGAAATGGCAAAAGTCGATTTTGCTCATTAGGCTCCACGCATCACATCGGGTTTACGAAGCGAGCTCCGGCAGTGGTCAATCGCGAACGTTCCTGCCGGAGAGGGAAATGTTCCTGGGGACTAGCAGACCCACTTGGAAGCATGTCTCTGAGAATAATACCTGTCAGTCGCGGCCCGGTGTGTAGCCGGCCGTCATGCATGGCGCTGCAGCTACTGCTGCTCCTGCCGCCTCCATCACCATTACTGAGCGTGACCGCACCTCTCAACGCCCGTTACTACTCACACGCTTGACCAACCACCTCGGCTCTCCAGCTTCGACTTGAAAACATCTCAACCTCGATTCCTCCCAGCTACAAGCCTTCATCGATACCAATCTCGTCATCACGGCAAACACCAGCCACGAGTGGGCCACTATTCGCTCGACACCACCCAGCTACAAGCCTTCATCATAGACAAAGCTCTTTCCAGCTACAAGCCTTCAGCGATACCAACCTCATCACCTCGGTAAACACCAGCCGCGACCGACTGACTATCCAGCCTCGACTCCACCCAACTACAAGCCTTTATCGCTGACGACGCTATAACCTCAGCAAATACTTTGATAATATCTCAACGTCGACACCATCAAGCTACGAGCCTTCCTCGAAGTCAACGCCGTCACCTCGGTAAATCCGACTCCGCAAACAAGCTGCTCCGACTCCGCAAGCAGCGACTCCGACCCTGCAACCAAGCGACTTAGACTCCACAACCAAACGCCTCCGCGAAAGAAGCGACTCCGCAAGTAGCGATTCCGCAAACAATCGACTCTGATTCCACAAAATAAGCCACTCCGATTCTGCAAGCATGCAACCTACTCGACTCACCAACGTGACGTCAATCCGACGTAACCGTGGTTCAGTATAACAGGTGTACCAACTAACGAAACGACCCACCACCGTGCCCTAGATCAACTAAATATGCACCGTGCACCAACCATATCCTCTTATGTTGGCCAGGCCAGTATAAGAAATAGGTCAACTACCGGTGCTACGCTTACACCAGATCGTTATCCTGACGATCGCTCACTGAAACGGACATTCCACACATTCTTCAACGTCTCTGTACGACCTACCAACAACAAAAGTTGTTCAAAACTTAATCCTCATTATTCCTTTCTCTCGATATCAAACGCCTAATATAACATTGGCCTTAACCAAGCACTTGGCATTTCAAAGAACTTTATTTGAACAATCAAAGAGAGCCAAGTATTTCAAACTCTCTTCATCCAATTTTGAACGTATGAAACTGTATTTCACTTCTGTGAACAATGAAGTTTCTTACCTTTGTTTTAAATATTTTTTTAATATTATCTTGTGTCAGATGATTTAATCTGTTGAATAAACATTTTCTCTTCATGACAATTCGTTGAAACGACGGATTTTTAAAAAATTGATTTATTTTCCTGAAATGAACTACTGACACAACTTGAAGCGTGTAAATTCGTAAATAAATTTCTTACCTTGTTTTGTTAAAAATAACCTGCGTGTTTCTTCGTCATTATTTTCATCCATTAACCTTTTTGGCGTGGATAAACCAACTGTTCATTTTAACCCCGCCAATATAGACTCATATGAATCGGGAAAAAATAAGTAACAGAAGAAGAAATTTAAAAAAAAACAGCAATTAATGCATGTATTAGCAAAAGTAATTGCATGTGTATACAATTGAAATGAAAGGAAATAACATTAAAACTAGTTATAAGAATGTGCGTGTTGTGCGTATGTAAAATAAACGTGTGCCTATGTTCAAAAGCAAGCAGACCAAGAAAAACGAACGCGCCCCAGCGGCAGCGCTCTTTATCTACGTTCGACGACATCTGGAGGCAAGAGTTAAAGAGAGAGAGAGAGGGGGGAATAAGCTTGCCTTTTAATAGACTTAAATAACGCCATCTGACGGGAGGTTTTAGCGGAACCAAGTGCGATAACCCACAGACTGCAGGAACTCCTACAGAAGGTAGTAAAGGAAAGCGAGGAGAAAAGTTTAAACATTAATTGCAAGTAAACAGAATGCAATGGTTGTCAGCAAAAAGAACAACCCAACATACAAATTACAAATTGAGGATACCAAAATCAAGCAAGTACAAAAATTTTACTATCTGGGAAGCGTTTTAACTCCGAAATCCGAAGGCGCATTGGGATAGCGAAAGATGCTTTTCAAAACCTAAGCAAAGTATTAAGAAACAGGAAAAATTCATTAGAAACAAAGAAAAGAGTAGCGAACCGTCATGAGATATCAATCCTCCTTTAGCTTTCCGCTACCACTTTTTCATCAATGTCGATTTTCGTGCAAAAAGCGGATCACAGCTTCATACATGTTTCTGAAAAGCTTAACTTCTCATTGGACAATAAATATTTAAATTATCTCGTATATCTTCACGTACATTGTTCTCAATAAGCAACACAAAACATATCAGGCTCCAGACTGAGTTTTGTAGGGCGCTTTCTGAGTGGTTAACAAATATTAAAAAAAACAATTTACCTGCTCACCACTACGTCCGAATAACTTCAACTTAGCTTTTGACCTGACGAAAAAACAATGCTTTCAGGACCCCGTCACGTGATTAAAAAACATAAATTGAATATACGAGCGAACCAAGTCAGTGAGAATTTACGACGACTAGCATTTGCTAAACGAGTTCACGAAGCTTGTATCATTAATTACTGCAGCGAGGTACAAAGTTAGAATCTCAAGTTCTTTAACATGAAGTAACTTCACTGAAATGCAAGCTAAAATTTCAACGAAACAACTCACTCACCAACTTCTGCAACTTACTAAAAACTATTCAATCACGTAATTGAATCTTACGAAACTCAATTACAAACAATTACGAACAATACATTCAACTACGAGCAACGAAAACAAATTAGACATTACGGAAACGGAACATTCACTTCTCCAACTTCTTTGAAGCTAAAAGTTTATCAACATATTTTCAGCTTTACAAGATTCTTTAAACTCTCTTTCAATGAACATTTTGAGCGACAAGATAATTCAACTTTTTGTGAGCTCAGTTAAAAATAGTAGTAAAGAATTTAACCCAGTCAAAGGGAAGTAACTCATATTAATATTTATTGTAAAACTGTTGTCATTTATAAATATAAATATTGTACCTTTTATGAAAAGTTATTTTCTTGTGTTCTTTCTCTTGTTTGCTTTTTGTTTGCTTACACATTCGTAAAGTAAAAAAAAAAATGTGCGGGTTGATTTATACCGTCAATACCGCTAAACTCCTATTAATCAGATCACCAGAAAGTTAAATCATTATGGCCTTGGAAGAAAGAACTGATGAACCATATCCTAAACGGAACAGTGAATAATCCTCTACTCCTCTTCAATAAACATGGAAGGAGTGTAGGCTGGGCGATAGATGTGCCTGTCTACTCCTATGAACCTGATCACAGTACAGAACGCTGGGCGATTTTATCAAGACACCAAATCTAGGATGGTTGCCGAGTATGGCTGTAGATCCCATCCAGGCCCAGGGGAGATTACTCGATGATTAATATCGCTCTGGTTGAATATAGAACAAGGATCGGAGTGTGGAGTGGTGAGATGTCAGATTAGCTTATAACCCTTGAGTAAAGGTACGATTGGTTAGTGTACTGATGGTATGGTATGACGGTCTTCAGGGCTACGGCCTGGTCACAGCACCAATTATGACGTATACAGGAGCTGCAGCCTGCCTGCGGCGACCAATTACAAGACGGCGTTCCGGATCCGGTCTGTTTCGGTTACCAGGTATGGCGGTACTCAGGGTCAATCCCGGTCTGCCCGCTTGGTCAGGATCGATCCCGGTATCAGAGAACAAGCCGTCAGCCCACTCGTCGGTCGTTGATGACGTTTGACACAACAGCTGGTCTCAAAGTTGACCTCTCTTACCATGTTGTGATTTTGATCTTAAGAGGGTCAAGCCGGATTTCCACTGGGGTATCTTAACCACGCTAAACCAAGGAGTTGAACACGTGTATACAAAATTGAAAAATAAAATGGACGACGCCCGAATAAGTCACGATATGAGGTTTATATCAGAATAACAAAAAAAAATATTTACAGTTATTTTCTTCTTTGTTCTTTTTCTTCTTTTCCCAACCCGTTCTAATAATTGGCGACGGAACGAAAATTGCGGGTAGCTTCTTTGGGAAATCTTCAAGTACTGTGATTTGTAATTTCCACGGACGGCACAAGGTTTATCGTCAGAGTTTTTCTTCAGTGACAACTGGATTTAACTTCAAGTACTGTTGATTGTACTTTCACGGACAGCACAAGGTTATTCGTCGGAGTTTTTCTTCAACAACTGGCTTTAACTTCGAGAGGAGCCATTATATGACGTCAGCCTTTCTGACGTCGTCATCTGCTTTTTAATTTTTTCGTTCTCAGGGAAAGATTAGACCAACAATTTTTCTCAGCAGATAGTCAAGCCGGACATCTTTCAACAGCCGACCATAACCTCTGGCTCCCCACATGTCAGCTGTGTCTAGCAAAGTCACGTTGTGTAACTTTTTTCAACAAAATTCATACATCTATTCCCATATCCTGGGAAAAATTTTCTGACAAAAATTTAAAATCGTTGTGTTTAACCATTTTCGTCCGTACGCCATGTTAAATATTGTTACATCTCTTCCTTCACCTCTTCTGTCATTTACCCGTAAATGACATTTCAAACTCCAATACACTATTTAATATGCTCTACTATTTATGCGTTATTTCTCATGCACGATAAAATTTCCACATGCAATTTTAAAAAAAAGTTCTTTTTTCTTCATCTGTTTATACCTGCAATTTTAAAAAAATGAGTTTGTGTGTGTGTGTATGTATGTGTGTGTGTGTGTGTGTGTGTGTGTGTGTGTGTGTGTGTGTGTGTGTGTGTGTGTGTGTGTGTGTGTGTTATTTTATGGTTTGGTTTTCTTGGTCATTATGCTTTTCTGTAGAACAGGGGGTGTTGGTTTGTTTTCAATAGGCGTTTACTGTACCTCTGCTTCGTTCGTCGAAGCCAAACGCAACTTCTTCATCTCGGGTTGGTCTGGTTGAAACAATGAACACTGCCAGGCAACTCCCTTCCGAGCTGTTGCACACCTACTAGAGTATCATCAACCGACTTCCTTCTATATCCATTAAATTTCCATATTGCTGCTACTTTCAGTAGCCAGTCTGTATGGTAAACACAGCTCCACTTAAATAATAATCCAGTTTTTGGAGGGCATACATGATAGCGTACGTCTCCCTTTCTATCATTGGCCATCTCTGCTGTCTCTCTGAGAGCTTATGGGATAGAAAGTATATCGGTACTTCCTCTGGTATACCAGGCACTGGACCATCCTTATCAGTACATGGCTGAGTAAGGACTGCTCCTATACATCGCTCACTAGTGTCCGTGTATAGTATCATTGGGTTGCTGAGATCTAGGTACGTCAGCAAGGGAACGGCAGTTAGCTGTTCTTTGAAGGTATCGAAGGCCTTTTGACAGTCTCCTGTCTATTTAAATCTCGCGTATTTTTTCGTTAAGGCTATCAAGGGAGTTGCTATCCTAGAAAATGCTGGGATAAAGCCAAAGTACTTAAAAATTAGCACTTGGGCAGTTTCAACTTCAATCCGTGCCTTCTCAATCGTCCAAAGACTTGTCTGAGGTGGTCAAAATGTTGTTCTGGTGTCTCTGAGAATACCAGAATATCGTCCAGATATGCCATGGCAAAACTCCCAATTCCTTCCAGTATTATTGACATTAATTGCTGAAAAATCCCAGGTGCATTGGTCAGACCAAATGACATGACCTTGAATTGGAACAGGCCAATGTGACATACAAATGCAGCCTTTTCTCTATCAGCCTCATCAAGGGCTACCTGCCAATACCCTGACCTTAGATCTATCGTGGAAAAGTACTTAGCTTTACCCAACAAAGCCAATATATCGTCAGTCAATGGCAAAGGTACTGCTAATGGTTTGGAAACAGCGTTCAGTTTCCTGAAATCTACACAAAATCTATGCCCGCCATCTTTTTTATCTACCACCACTATAAGGAAGCTCCAGGGAGACCTTGACCTTTCTATCATGCCTGTCTGAGGGCCTTTTATGAATAGGTGTTCTGTAAGGCCTTAGCTTAATTGGTAATTTAGGTAATGTTCACAAATTTCTTTATTTCTTGATAATTTTTCTTGTTCGGTAAACGTGAAAACCAAAATTTGCAAACAGACAACTTTTCACCAATTAAAAAGTAAAATATCTGTAAAAAGAATCAAAGAATTTGGAAATATACAAAAAAGTTACGATTCGTCATTTTAATACTTGAATTAATATTTATTGACAAACTAATACCAATATTGACCGTCCTGGGTAAGACGATAAACTACATCCAGCAGCAACACCTCTGATCAGGTTTTGAGGGGAAAAAATGGTTTTAATACCAGAAATACTTTTTTGTAAAAAATTATTGCTGGAAAGCCTAGTTCGGATTCCAGTCGAATCCATTACATTGACTTACGTGCTAATACCCTCTTCTTCTCCCCCCAGCTATGAGTAAAGAGCAAGACAGACCGGGTTCTATAGCCTTGGATGGCAACTGGTCTACTGCAGAAAGAAATGGCAACCTACTGCGGGTTAACTAACTCGTCAGTCATGTATCGAAAGATACATGATCACCTACGCATGTATCACTCATGGAAAATAACTGACCCAATACTTTTTTGTAAAAAAATTATTACCAGCAATGAATTTTTGAAGAAAAATCTTATTACCAGCAATATATTTTTTTAAATAATATTACCAGCAATACATTTTGGAAAAAAAAATATTATCAACAATAAAAATATTGTCGGCATTAAATAGTCCATTGAGGTTGATATACCGTAAAAACAAACCAAATCAATATTGATCTCATCGCCATGTAAATGAGTCAGTTCACTCAGCTGAAAATATTTAGAAAAAGAAATAAATGTGCGCCCCCTCACACACACTATTTCTCTCTCTCTGATCTTAAGTGCATTCTAGCATTTATTCAATATGTATTCATTTTGGCAGATATTGAAGCTAATTTTGTTAAAAAGCTACGTTCAGGAGCATCAAACAAAAATTCGTTCAATATCGCTGGCCATAAACGCTATTTTTGAAGCGATTAAATACAAATTAATTTTTTTTTTTTTTTATCGAAGTCGGTCGATTTGCCTAGCGTCTTCAAGTGAATTTTGAGAACATATTCTTGTAGAAACAACCTGTCGAGGAAAACACTCATCCAAAATGAAACTATTAACGTTGGATTTTCGTTTCAAACATCCGAAGACTGGAACGCCTCAAAGAACGTTGCTTTAATGCACGTTATGCTCAAAGCAAAGACGTCACAGTTTTAAACAATCTTGGTTATAACGACTTTTGCGATACTGTAGATTGGTAATTTTTGATAGCCAAACGTAAATTGATTCAAGTGCTGTACTGAAAGAAAATAGGGGAAAAAAAGCACAAATAAAAACAGGGAAAGAAAAAAGTGTGTAACAAGATGGTGCAACAAAACTGCTCTTACATCAAAGATTGGAAGCATATGTGCCAATTAAAATATGCCTCCCTATCGAAATGTGATAATTCTTTGTGGGATTATAAGCCGACAAGACGGACCAATGAAGGAATACACCGAACTCATTCACCTGGGAATGATCCGAATACCTTACAAGATTCCCAGTTAGCAAAGAATTTCTCTTCTCGGAATACAATTTCTAAACTAGCCGATGTCGAAACGAAAGAAGTTGGCTCAAGGAATTCAAATGGCAACGGAAGAGATAAGCCCAGACCTTACGAGCGCAGACAAGAAATTCGAAAGAAAAACCCTGCTGTCGTCAACAACACAAATGTTAAGAAGGAAGGGTTCACGAATGTAGATATCTTAACCGAGGAAACATTCACAAAAGAACTTAAACATCCCAAACTGAACCAACATGTCTCGGGTTTATCGTCTCGTCCCGAACTCGCATTGCAGCAAATGGTCATAAACAAAAGCCGAGATTATATCAACTCCAATTGCAACAGCTCTAACAACAACGCTGTCAGAATTGCCGAGTCGGGGCCTCAATCAAACTATGGCCGAAGGAGAAGATCTCGACCTCACCGGAGACAAAAATGTAGCGGATGGGTAAAATATCCGACAGATAAAAAATACGATCCCCTAAATAAAGTTACAAGCAACAAACAGGATAATTGTCATGGGCTGCAAAATACACCTTGGGAAATAGCCAACTACTTAAAGTCGAATATGAACCTGAAAAAAATTGGTCAAAAAGGATCAGGGAACTTGACTTACAGAAGTGCCGCTAATAATAATAATAACAGTAGTTGTGATGCTGCTTTAAGTGCTAGTTCAAGTTTGCATCCGAAAGATGAACAAGAGAACCAAATGCGAAGGATCAATGTCACCCCTCTTGATCCTCTGCTACGAAACTGTCGGCAGATCATCGACCGACATCCATCAATCTATGTGTCTCAGACAGGATTGGTGAATCTCTTTTTGCGTGGCGGCACATTACTGGAAATAACCGTTGACAAAACTCTGCGTCTTGTCGACCAGCGCCTCAACATCGCAATTGCTCTTAACTGGCGCGACAAGTCCTGCAATGTGCATCACCCACAGGCTGTGATAAACATGGCCGAGACGTCGGCCGACATTGAGCTCTATGGAAAATGGCAAGCGAGGATGAGATCTGGTAACGTCCTAGCTGGAGACAAATGCCGCTCAGTTTGGTTCGACAGTATTGAAAATTACGGCACAGCAAAATATGATCAGCACCAATTTCTCAATTCCACAGTCGATAACACTGTTGATTTGGTCTATTCGACCTCGGCGTAAGTTATTTTCTTTCTTCTTTTTTTTAACGGATATTAATATTTTCAGTTTAACCTAGAATCTGTCTAATTTGTTATGAATATTTACTAAGTTTAGTTTAAGACAATGCAACATGTGACGGGCCCAGTGTCGGATCCTTTAGTTACAGCGCCAAACAAACTCCTCCAAGTCAGAGAGCCTTTTTTTTCCCGCAATAGTGCAACTTAAATCTCGGTCATCTTAGACAGACAGGACCAAGGATTTGGGCCGATACACGGGCTGGTAAAATAAAAACTCACGACACCAAACAAAATTGCTGATAAAAGGGTAACAACCTTTTATATCTAAGTCCGTTACATAAAAACAAAATTGTTCTCAATTCGACCCCTCTGTGGACTATGGTTTTCTATCACACAATAGGAAAATGTCGAATTAAATAGAATCATTTTATTATTTGGTTCAGTTCGACACTGGGGCTAATTTCTATCGATCATGTTTCTTCTCTCGGTTGTTGTATTTCTTCTTCTTCTTCTATCTGGAAGTTCTTCTTGTCTGGTTCTTTTCTCTCACTGCCGTCCGGGGATGAACTGATTTTTTGTCGATTGGGGCCCTGCTTTTATTGTGCAACAAACTGGGGATCAGGGATGGCCGCGTTCAGGCTCGATAATTCTACCTTTTCAGTTTACATTCTATTTTTTTCCTCTTTTTACAATCCATCTCTTAATGTCAGGTGACCGCTTTTCAACATCGTTTGATCGAGCATTTCTTTCCCTTTTCTTCCGCAGGACACGTGATCGTAAATTTGATCATTTCTTTCCCTTTTCTTCCGCATCACGTTCGTTTTCAACTATTCGATAACACTGTTGATTTGGTCTATTCGACCTCGGCGTAATTTTTTTCTTTCTTCTTTTTTAACGGATAGTCGAATTAATATTTTCAGTTTAACGTGGGTGAATCTGTATATCTAATTTGATTAAAATTGAAATTGTTCCCAAAATTTCTCTTTATTTGATAAGGTGTCTTTTTAGGCTAGGTTTGACCGACATTCTTACCAATGCTGAAAAGGGGAGAATCTGTCATACATTTCTCTTTCTTTCTTTTCTTCCCTTCCTTTTTTTTCCTTTCTTTCCTTCTTCTTTCAATCGTGTTAGTACATAGTGAATTATTTTCAACTCACGTTTCTTCCCGTAAATATGCAATATTTTCCTACTGCCAAGACCAATAGTTATGATCACCTGCCTTGGGAAAGTTACCATGTAAATTCCACAACTCAACAGAGAGACTGTGTCCCGTTATAGTTTTACCTTTTAAATATAGGTTTATTATTTGCAATATCTTTAAATAATATCTCTGAATTTCTGTGATGAGGAGTCATCATTATTTACATTCAGACTAATATCCTCATCTTTATTATTATCATTATTTACACTATTTATGTTCGGACTATTGTCCTCATCTTTGTTGTTATTATCACCCGATCACCTCCTGTCTGAATTTCTGGGATGAGGAGTTATCATTATTTAAACTATTTATATTCAGACTATTGTCCTCTTCTTTGTTGTTATTATCACAACGTTTCATCCCGTAGGACAATGTGTTCCTACTGAAAATTAGCGTAGTGGATTAAAGTGTTGGATCGTGAATTTGGCAACACTGATCGTGAGTTCAATCTCTGGGCCAGGCAATGTATACTTAGTCTCAACATGTGAGCAATAACTGAGCAGTACTAATAAAAAGAACTAGATGATATTCTTAGACAATGGTAGTCGAAGGAGAACAGTCTACATCCGTAGCTTAAATAAAGGGTTTAGTTTAGAAATCCCTATAGGTTACCCAGATCGATATACACCTGAGGAATGCCGGAGGGCACAACAACCGAAACGTTGTGATAACAACAACAAATATTAGGACAATCGTCAGAATATAGTGTAAATGAACTTTAAATAAATCAGCACTTTTGAATTGGAAAGTATTGAAGTAGACAATCTCTTTCCCGGAATAACAGTTAAGTCATTCATTATACAATTTCACTCATGAGCTCATCTTTGTCATGAGAAACATTAAAATGCCAAGAAAACAAGAAACCGAAAAGATTTTAATTGATAAAATTTATAAGTACAATTTTTCTCACTTGAGTGGAGATTTATTTTATTTATTGTCAATTACATTGTAGGGAAAAAATTTCAATTTTAAAATTATGAAGTTTTGAATAAAAAAATGCTTATTCTGATTATTTTATATGCTTTTATGAAAATATAGCGAAGAAAACGGCGACTTAACTCGATTAACCCTACGACGGAAAATGTGGCGAAAAAGAAAATTACTTACAAAAAAAAAGGGGGGGCACATATTCCGCATGACATACTGAAGACGGAATTAAAAACAAGTCCGTCGCAGGAGTCAATTGCATATCAAAATACTTTTACAGTATTTTGATATGCAAAAATTGGGCGTCCTCTCCCAGTTGTCGACGAATAGAAAAAAATGCTCGGCTGATAAAAGTAGTTGATGTTCTGGAATCGGGAAGAAAAAATTAGGGCATTTTGCTCATGGATCGCGCATACGCGTGTGACAATGTGTCACCCCCGTATTCTGGGGTGAAACGAATGGTGTTTCTGACGCTGCTGGCCACGGCCCGAATGGTGATTTGGACGACGCGAATAGAGGAAGTCTTGCGAAGCATCCGTCTTTCTCATCAGGATCTGATCTGATTCTTTGAGCATCAGCTCAAGATGTAGATTAGAACTGATAGAAAACGCCTGCATTCGACAGTCTTCAGCGAAAGGTGGGTGACTGAGGCGAGCTTGGTTCGTTTGAACGGGGCTAGCCTTGATTTTCTCTTTTAGGTTAACCTAAGTCACATCGAGGTGGTTTCCTGTGGAGCCCTCCCTTTGGTTAGGTTAAACAAGCTTTTGTGTACCTAGTTAATATGAGTAAGTGTTGTTCCTGGCTGCATCTTTGGCTATAATCCAAGTCGAGATTCCCAACCTCCCCAGTTTGTTTTGGCCCCCTTTTTCACCTCGTCTGGGTCAGCTTTTATATTTTTCATACCCGTATATTTTTCTCCTTTCCCACTCCATTAGCGAGAGAGCTTCTTGATTTTGTCCAATTGGCAGAATACAGCGGCCTCTCTTTTTTTGTGGGTTGGACGGGCCCTACTAACATCAGTTATGTTTAGCTCACTTTATGTTCATGTTTAGTTTGTTATTAGGGTTCATTTCCTCCCATCTCATTTTTCATCATAGATTTTTAAATATAATAATTTATTATCTTTAAACTTTTATGGCATTGGGCGTGTTTTGTAGGACCCCCTTGAGAGGTTGCGGTATTATGGTGTATGGAGGATTGATTGATGACGGACGAGTTTTTGTGGTGAATAGGCAAATTGTAATGAGTGAATGGGTATAAGATAGTGATGACCAGCCTTAACCGCTCCCACTTTTCGGCCTTGTGTATAAAATCACAATATCAAAAATTCGGGCATTTTGGCTACTGTGTTTGTCGGAGAGTGAGTTATTTTTCTGACTGGTTACGTGCATTAGGATTTGTGTGATACTACCGGCGAATCGAGTTTTCGGCAAAAAATCAAATACTGTCATTTATTGATATTCATCCTAAACACTAACATCGTTTGTGTGAAGTGGCCAATAACATGGCTTTATTGTTGCGAATGTTTCTATTGAAATGACACAGGTAATGTAACTTAGCAGTTGATCAAATTAGCTATATAAACACACCCACCCATATACACATAGTAGTAGTAAACTAACATTAGAAAGAAAAACTTATTTCTAGTGCTATTGAAGGTGTTTTCCGCTGTCATTTGTAGTGCAATATTTTGCAAAGAACAAGAAGTTAATATTTATGTGAATAAATTCCTGTTGTCTTTTTGAGTGTAATGGCTGTTTTCGTTTTGTTGCTAGCAGAAAAAATCTAAGGTTACGAACAATCACAAATTTTCTTTTTCTTCCTAAAAGAAAAAAATTGTGTCGGTAATGTCTAACTGGTGCAAAAAGTGGGAGTTGAGAACTGGGTTCAAGTGTTGGCCTAGTCTGTTGCATTAATTTTGAGAAATTGTGTTAAATAGCAAGGTAGATTGGAATCTCTAGCAGCTAATCTAGTACGAGGAATATTCCAAATTAAAGACCATCAAGAAGACAAACAGAAACGGCTATCTTTCTCAAGAAGTTAAATGGAAACTTTGTAAAACAAAGATTGCGCAGGCTTAACTGGACATGGAATTTTGAGAGAGAGAAAATTATTATCAATTATATAACAGAGGATGTCTGTCTGCGATACCTTTTCACTCGAGATCCATCCAACTGATTTTGCTTAAACTTGGCACTTACATTGTACAATGTAAGAGATAGGTTCTTAGCGTAAAAAGGATAACTTTTAAGAAATCAATAATCGATAAAGCCGATAAAAATCGTTAAATTCAACTTCTTTCCTCCGATTTCGTTCAATCTCGGTATGTAGGTTACTTATATCATGACGATCTCAACGATACTTCATTTTTATTTCTACGCCACTGCGTTTAGCGAAAAACGAAAAATCGATTTCAACACAAATTTTAAACTAAAAACTTTCTCAATTTTCAAGTAATCTAATACAAACTTCACTCTATTGTAGCCAACAATAAGTTGATTATTTAAGTCATTTACCTTGATAATTGAGTTTACCCAGATAGTGAAAACACGCGTAAATAGCGAAAAATGGCGACTTTTGATGGTTTATTTTTCGTTGATCTTTCAACCAATTTTCATCAAACTTAACAATTGGTTTATAAATGTATCCTTTGTTACATCCCTGGTAGCACACTGACAAATTGAATTTCGAAAACTCCAAAATAATTGTGGTCTGAAGCAGGCTTTCATGTTGTTTGTTTTACCCATTCATGTCCACAGCTAACTGCGATTGAATAAATACAAACCACTTCTGTGACATCAGTAACTGCATTAATTCAAAATGTTTTTTTTTTAATGAAAGTACCTTGAAGAAGATAGATTCTGTTAGATCGACAC